CAAACATTGAGGCCCTGAGAGTATTTTCTTAGCCTTGTTAATTTGGGACCATTATTCCGAGGATAGCCTAATTTTTCACTTTTTGGAGAGGAGCCATTTTTGAGAATTCAGAAGGGAATTCTCATAGTTTATACATAAAAAATTATAAACAAAATAAAGAATTTAATTAACATATACAAAACTATATATATTTGTGTAAGAAATTGAATGAACTAACAGAATATTTATAAATCAAACTGAAATATCAACATTTATTCAAATTAACTATTCTGATTTGCATAATTTGTGCAAGCAATTTTTTTAAAACCTGGAAACAAACATAACTAACCTGAAAAATGTGGGTGAATTTTTAATGGATGGAGCTTGAATAAGTCCTGACACCTGTATTTTAGGAAGTGAGGCCCTTCAGACACATCAGGCACATGGTTCTACTCATTTTCCTGCCTCCAGCTATGTTTCAGTTGCTTTGACGCAAGTCCTTTTCGCCATTTGTGGGCACAAGTTACCCCAGAAAAAAATGTATGTAAAATTACACGACACATCAAACTTTCTCAAAAGCCGCCAATGAACAGCCAACATGGGCAAGAAATGTGAGAAGCTGTTTGATTGACTGGTACAAAAATCTGCCAGCCAATATCAAGGCTTCTATTATATGACCGACCGATCGGCCTTTTGGCTACTTTGTGTTGGGCCGATATTTCGGCCGCATCATCTCAAAAGGGTTAATTTATAAATTAAGTTTCTGGTACAGTTAGTGAATTTCATTGAAAATCTTTATCATGAATGACAAGCAGCCATCAGAGCAGCTGGTGAAACATTGGATTGGTTTGAGGTGCAAAAGGGGGTGAGGCAGGGGTACATTCTCTCACCATATCCGTTCAATAAATACGCAGAAAATATAATGAGAAATGTCAAAGATGACCAGACTTGTGACTGTTATGATCCGTTCAAAATTGGTGGCAACCCTATTCCGGAACTTTGCTACGCAGATGACACAGTCCTCCTTTTGAACAGCGTAAAGGGAATAGAAAATTTAATATTGTCTGTCCAAAAGCACAGTGAAGATCAAAATCTGTTCTTGTATTTAAAGAAAACGAAAATAATGTTCACAGATAAAACTGGCTGTCACCCAAAAATAACAATAAATGATGAAGAAATTGAAAATGTATCAAACTTTGAATATCTAGGCTCTATAATAAACAACAATGGCGACTGTTTGACAGAAATTGCTATAGCAATGCAAAGATTAAAGTGTATGGTTAATCACCAGCAAGGAGATCAGAATTATAATTTTGAGAGCATGCATCTTCCCTGTGACCACATACGGATGTGAGTTGTGGACTAAGAAAGAGCTGAAATGCTATAGAAAGATTCTTAGAATATTTTGGACAAAGAAGAGGAGAAATACTGACATTTTGAAAGATCTGAACATCAAGGAAGATTGGCTGATAAACAGCATCCTTTCTCGAAAGCTGAAATATTTTGGTCATATCAAGCGCCACGACGGATTGGAAAAAATTATACCAGAAGGCATGGTACCAGGAAGGAGGGGCAGAAGCCGACCGACTCGAAGATGGGCACAGGATATAAGTGACTCCTTGAGTATGAAAGTACATGAGGCGGGGGAGCTGGCGGGGAACCGAGTTTCTTTCAGGCAGACGGTAATGAGAGCGACCTTCTGCAAAGTACGTGCTATATGATGATAGTACAGTTGACAAAAGTTCCATTACTTCAGTTATAATTATTTCACACTTGCATAATTTGCAAACGAAAGTATATTACACCACACTAAAAATTCATTTCTTTCCGCAACCTCAATTATTTAGCAAGCAGAAAGTAATAAAAACAATTTTGCACTGGAATCAGGATTTTAAAAAACAGCAGCATCAATAACTTGACACTCATTTCTAGCTGACAGAATTTTTCTCATGGAAGAAAAAGAGACTGAAAGAAAACATATCTGCTTGACAAGAATGACAAAATGAAATCTAATGGTACCATATTACAATCTCTAGATCTGTTTCAATCCTTTCACCCCATAAACAGCTTTAAGAAAATTACCTTTTTTCAAATATTTCAGCAAAAAGAAACATATCATTATAACTCTCTTCTGAAATTCTACTCTAAGAAACTAGAGAAAGAGAAGAAGAAGCAGAAGAAATTTAGAGTCGTAATCAGTTTTTATAAAAATCCAGATGCTTGAAACCTATTACCAAAGAGCTAAAAGGCAGGCCTGCTAGCTATTGCGTCATTGCTGCACTGCCTCACTAAAAAGATGGATTATTCATATTTTGAGTTATTATTTTTTGCAAAATTATAATTTTTTTTTAAATATATGTGTAGTAATCACTAAATACAGAGCAAAGAAATAACTGCTTTGCTTCCCTTTGACCAGGAAAAACATTTTTTTTTTTTTTTGACAAAGCCACAGAGAGTAGAGTGACATCATCTCAAGTTTATTGATGTCACAGTGATAGAAAAATAATAATTTTTTTTAAACCCTAAATAATATCTCAGATTATATATATATATATATATATATATATATATATATATATATATATGAATTATAATTATGATAGAAAAATAATTCGTTTTTTACCCTAAATAATATCTCAGATTTATATATATATATATATATATATATATATATATATATATATATATATATATATATATATATATATATATATATATATATATATATATATATATATATATATATATATATATATATATCATTAGTTCTCGTTATGCCAAGTGGCACATGAGGCTTCAGAGAGGACTTTCCATGCTTTCCTGTCCTGTCCTCAGTGCAGTTTTCCATGTCAAAGATGCCGCACTCAGGTCACCCTCCATCGTTCGTCTCCATGTTGTTTTTTGGGCGCCCCTGTTTTCTCTTTCCCTCTGGCATCCATGTGAGAGGTGTTTTGGCAGGTATATCAGAAGTCATTCTCATAACGTGACCAAGCCATTTCCATCTTCTCTTGGTAATCATACTGTCTATTGTTTCTTGGTTTGTGGCTTGAAGTAGTTTAGTGTTTGAGATTGTATCTGGCCAGAAAATTTTTATAATTCTACGTAGACATGTGTGGTGGAAGGTGGACAGCTTATGTGCATCCTTTTTGGTCATTCTCCAGCATTCTGCTTCATAAAGACGAACTGGCAAATGATGCTCTTGTAGAGTCGGAGTTTCGTTCCTCTGCAGTAATTGTTGGATTTCCAGATTTGCCTCATCCTTCCAAAAGCAGCTCTAGCTTTGTTCAGACGTGACTGAATGTCTTCCTCTGTCCCTCCCAGTAGGGACACCACACTGCCAAGATATGTGAAATGTTCTACATTTTCAAGTGATTGGTTACTTATGGTCACTGGTTGTTGGTTTGGACTGTTTGTCATGTTATTCTCAGTCCCACCATTTCTGCTGTGCAGTTTAGTCTGTTACTTTTTTCTTGTATATGTTCATGTTTATGTGATAGGAGTGCTATATCATCTGCAAAATCAAGGTCCTCAAGCATGGTGAATGGAGTCCATCGTATGCCGCTTAATGTCCTGTTTACTGTGTTCTTTAGTATCCAATCAATCACAAGGTTGAAGAGGAGAGATGACATAACACAACCCTGTCTTACACCCGTCTTTACTGGGAAAGATGTATTGTAATTTTTTATACTGCAGGAAAAGTCTTTATAGAAGAGAGCAATTATGTTGACTATTTTTTCTGGAATTCCATAATGTCGTAAAATTTTCCACAGATCGTCTCTATGGACGCTGTCAAAAGCTTTCTCAAAGTCCACAAAATTAATATATATACTTCTCTGCCATTCGTTGTATTGTTCTAAAATGTTACCTATGGCGAAGATGTGCTCAGTTGTTCCTCTGCCCTTTCTGAATCCTGCTTGTTCCACTCGTAGACATTTATCTACTCCTTTTTCAAGCCACATTATGATGATTTTACAAAATATTTTGCTTGGTACTGAGAGTAGAGTAATTCCTCTCCAATTATTGCAGTCTGTTAAGTCTCCTTTTTGGGGGATTTTGACTATTGTTCCTTCAGTCCAGTCATCAGGCAACACTTCTTTTTCCCAAATATCCTTGAACAATGGTTCTAGAATGCTAGCAGTTGTGTTGGGATCTACTTTGAGAAGTTCTGCTGGCAGTTCATCTTTGTCTGGTGCTTTGTTGTTCTTTAAAGTATCTCAGATTATATATATGAATTATAATTATGATAGAAAAATAATCAGTTTTTTAACCCTAAATAATATCTCAGATTTAAATATATATATAAATATATATATACATATTAAAATAATCATGACCACCATGTCTACACGCTGTGCAGTTGCAACCAGTATGAAAGCTTTTATGTAGGCATATTGGCCACTGTTCAAAGACATCATGTCATCAAAAACCCAAACAAGTCAGAAAATTGACTTTCTTGGGGGTGACAGAGTTAAACAGTATTATTGTGAATTATCAGTCTATCCAATTTCACTTATTCTGAATTGAGTTGAGTTACGCACCAACATCACATTACTCAGTGCATTCCCATAAATGCTGTATCCACCATCTTTAGTAGCTGGCACAGAGTTCCAATACTAATGATGCCATACTGAAACTGGGTAGCAGCAGTCCTGTATGAACAGAAAGTAGCGACACATCTGGTTCCTGGACTGCCGACCCATGTTCTATCACACCTGGTCTACCCCAGGATTCATCCATCTCACCTCTACAGTGTCTACACAAGTAGGATTGCAGCCATTGAGGCATCAGGCATCATTATAGTATCTAAAGAATGCTGCCACATGGGTCTTGAGAAAGGTTATGATGTTAACAAGAAGGTAACATATTTCTTGTTCAACATTGCTTGGTTTTTATAACAGAAGCACATTTTTTTGGGTGTTTTTTAGCTGAAGCACATTAAATTATTTTCCTTTTGTCAAACAGAAACATTTACTGAAAGTCATAGGTAATCAAAACTGCTTATTTGTTTTCAGTATACAGAGATGGCAGCACAAGCACCCATGAAAGTGGGTGCAAGGGTGGAGGTGATTGGAAAGGGTGTCATTGGAACAGTAGCCTACATTGGAGCCACTGTCTTTAGTTCCGGTAAACATTCTTTATTCTTAGTGTTACGATTGCTTGTATTATCTTCTAATCCTTTGATTCCAGTTGTGCTCATGCATAAGTTTAAAGAAGTTTTCTTTACCTCCTGTAGGTGGGAAGGGATATTTACCGCCACTTGGTTAGTGCAGTCACCATGAGCTGTGCCGTTATGATTTTCATTTTGCCTAACACAGAAACAAATCTTCATCCCTCACCACAGATCGGACCCAGGTCTGTCGCATGAGAGCTCAGCTCTCTAGCGGCTTGGCCAGTTGCTTCTCTTTGCATGACTTGAAGATGTGAATTGATGACTTTGTAGTCTTTGAACATGTCATGAGAAGAAAAAGGTTGGAGTGTATCATGACTGGAAAAGTTTTGAAGAAGGGGCAGGGGGGTTACTATAAAGAGATTGTTGGACATGTTATAACAAACAACATTGCACACTGGGCATTCCCCTGTGTGCTCAGTCATCTGATCCAGCAGCCACTCTAAGGTACCTCTGCTGATTGTTCATTTAAGGAGTTGGTTATAATATCTCTTATCGCAGCTTTGGATGTGACAAAGGCATGCTTCACCATGCTTTGCTTCCGTGTCAAGCAGTCATGTTAGTTACTAAGATTTGTCATCATTATCCACTAACTTAGTCTGTACAGCATTTCTGTTATCTGCTGTGTCCATGCTTTTTCTCACATGTATTGGTGCATGGCTTCCCAGTTGATCTGCTTGTTTGTTGCCTTTTGTGCCAGTATGGCCAGTTTGGCATCATGGGATAGAGGGACATCTGAATAAAAAGATTGGTTGCACATGTGATAGAAGGCTGTGGACACATAATGGCGACTAACACTCACAGAATGAACTTTAAAAGGAAGATCCTTGGTTTAATTTTCGTTGACAAGTAACAAATTTATTCTAGCTTTCCTTTCCCCTGAATGTTCTGTAACTTAAGCCTACAGTTATATCCAAGTTTTTATTGTGTATACAAGCAGAAGTGGAATGGAGTTTGTCTTCTGTAACTTAAACCTGAAATAACACTTTACATTTGATGTGAATATAAAAATGCATTGAATAACTGTTTTTATTTTGTATTCAAGTTTAGAATGAAATGGAATAGTTTGTTATCTTCTGTAACTCAAACCTAAAATCTGTTTCAGGCAAATGGATTGGCGTAGTTCTAGATGAAGCAAAGGGCAAGAATAATGGTACTGTTCAGGGCAAAACTTACTTCACCTGTGCAGATGATCATGGTATTTTTGTGCGACAATCACAAGTAAGACTATATATACTCTTATAGATTTTTGTACTGTTTTATCATATTCACCTTTCCTCCTTCTCCTCTTTATTCATGCTGTAACGGAGTTTTATTTACAACGAAGCTGACATTGTTTTTTAGTCTGATTTATTGTCTTTATGTGGTCTTTGTGTTAACTCTTTGTCCCCCAAGGAACGCATCCTACGTACATAGATTCCTACCTAGAGGCCCAATGAACGCGTGATGCACCAATTTTATGTATCTCTTGACTACCCCTTGGGCCTGTGATGCTAAACCCCCTGGGACTCAAAGAGTTAATATTAAATAATAAGAGCTATTGTTTTATGAACCCTCATCTTTCTTTTTTGCAGATTGCTTTACTAGAAGACCAGAAGCCTCCTGCAGATGCACCTACGGAGCCTATAGCTGCCACACCTAAACAACCTGTCAAGCTGCAGCCACCAGCTTCATCTGCTAGGCCAGTTAGTACACCAGCTACCACTGCCAAAAAATCTGGCCTGCGACCTCCAGGAACCATGACTAAAAGTACATATAATGATACTAGAGTAGTAATTAGGGATCATCATAACTTGGGAGGTCCTTTGTAAACATTGCTTCTGTCTCAACCCCCTAGAAAGCCACTTGACCCTTTGCTGATTCATCTTATGAATTTCCAAGCCCAAACTATCTCTGATGTCCGCCTAAATGCTGGGTAATTCCTGTTTCTTTTTTCCCCAAGAACCATACCTTCCATTATTATTTTTATTGCTAAATCATTACTTCATTTAACACACACCACTTTACATTGATTTTAATAGTGGCGTGGAGTGTGCAGATAACTAAGAAAGCAATGGCACAATACTGAACATAAGATTATCTAGTAAAACCAAACATGGTGTTCTAAAACATTTATATTGGAAAAGCTTTATTTGAATTCTAAAGTGATTGTAACATTGTTTCACATCAGCTTGTTGCCATAGGAAGATGCTTCTTCTCAACGTTTTTACTTTCATTTGTTTGCTGGTGTTGTACTAAAGAATGTGTTTTTACGCTGCTGCAATTGTTCTTCTACTGAATAGTCTTCATTGTTGTTCATAGAAAGCATCGCTTTAGAGGTCCCTGGTAGTTAGCGTCCTTTGGTTATTTTCTACGTTGTACTGGTGTGTTGGAAAACAAACAGGCAGATAGACTGGCTGGTTCTGCACCACTTGGTTGGTTAACTGAATAATGACAAGCTATATGTTTTCAGGGCCCTTTGGGAGTGAGCAAACAGTAAGGAGGCACACATAGATCATTATGGTCTGAGGAGAATTGTGTTGCAGAAAGTTATCAGGGGATCTGGCCAAAACTCAGTACTCAAGGAAAAGGCAAGACAGGTGTGCAATCATACGTTACTGGTACCATCAGAATTGGGACTCTTTGCTTGCTTCTGAAGATAGGGATGGAGCACTTATGGGAGTGTCCGGAGTGCCATGATGTTGATTCTTAATTCAACATTCAATATTGCTGCAGGAGCAGGTATACAAACCCTAAAATAGTGTCATCTGTAGCCAAGTCTCTGTTACATCTGAGCCAGCAACTGTGGAATATAGACACAATTTATACCTAACCATTGAATTATCACCACAGTTACAGAAATCTAGATTCACTAAACAAAGGTCAAATAAGGGAAAATAGTTGCTAAAAGTGCAGCCTAAAGTGTGTACCAGGTAATATCCATGGAAGTAAAGGCAGCCAGAATTATGTTGACTACATCATCCACTGATTGCCAGTTAGTATATACAAATATTAGTCTGGCATGATATACCTGAGGCGTTACTGATGTCAAAAGTGTTCTTTGCTTATAGGTAAAAAAACAAACATATATAAACACATCAGACTAATGCTGTCTGGTGTACAATACTGTTTAAAAAAGTCATGATTGGTTGATTCCATAGCCTTGTACGTAATACACAGGATTAAATCAGTGCTGAACCCCTAAGACTATTGAAACAACATGACAAAACAAACTAACACATGTTGACAAGCATTGATTGACACTTGTAGCTATAGAGAAAAGAAGTAGAGGCAGAAGGATGCACTAGACAACATTAATAATCTAAAGTTTTGCGACTTGGAATATTTAAGTCTAACTTCAAATGGGTATGGATTAGATACAGGAAAACAACTAAAACAGTTGCCCCCTAAACTACAAACATTTATGATTACGTGCCTACTGTTTGCTGAAGATTATATTTTAAGAAATTTGAGAAACATATTTTATAGAATACTTTGATCTGTTATATAATTAATTTTAATAATTGTGTATGTACAAACGTGTTTCCACAGGATGTTTTATGTTTGTATAATCACTCATTTTTTAAAAGGAAACTACAGACTAAAACATCCTGTGCGTGCAGGCAGTATTTAATAATCCTGGAAAGTGTAGCTCTTCTGTGTTGCCTTAGGAAGATATTATTTGTATCCAGGCACAGAAAGTCTTGGAGAAACTCCTGCACCACCTGCTACTGAAGTCAAAGCCAAACCACCTGCAGACCCAAGTGCTACCCCTGTCTCCAAAATTTCTAGACTGCCTCGTAACAATAAAGAACCCACTCCTGTAGATGAGAAGGGTGCACCCTCGGTACCTGAGACAAAGTCATTGACTGACTCATTGAAATCATCAGTCGAAAGTCTAGGTCCTGGTATTACACAGTCATCAGCACAGGTAAGTTTGTTAAATTGAATGTTATTACAATCACTTAACCTTCTTTAGTCAGGAGAAAGATGTATTAAAGAAGTTTAATGTAGAATAAGCAAAAGCAAAAGCATTTCACAAAATTAAGGTTTTGTGCAACCTGTCTTTGTCAGCTGAGTTAAGAAAACTTTTTTTTAATTAAGAACTGTGTGGCCGGTTCTGGTCTACATAAGTGAATCATGGGCAGTCAATCAATTGAGTTGAGAACTAACATCAGGAGTTAAGAACTAACATCACAACACATTCCCATAAGTGCTCCGTCTCCATCTTTACAAGCAAGCAAAAAGATCCATTGCTGATTGCAGTTTGGTTATATTTTTGATTGTGCTTTTCCTCAGAGTGTAGAGTTTTGGCCAGATCCACTGGTCATCTATTGCTCCACCCTTCTCTCCACACTGTAATGATCTGTTCACATCTCTCAATTGTTCACTTACTCCCAAAGTCTTTGACCACTGAATCTTGTTATGTATCATTTCACCACTCAGTGGTGCAGCACAAGTCATTCTCTCTGCCTTTTCATTTCTCAACACACCCACATACCCTAGGGGGAGGGGGGATATTCATAGAACACTAACTACAGGAGATCTCTGAAGTGATGTGTGGAGAATGCCATTCTCTACCTTTCTTTGCATCCTTTGTGAGTCTCTACAACATGTCTATGCAGATGGTTCTAATGCCAGTGGTGCTGTGACTGCCTCCACCTCAATTCTCAAACTTGATGTCAGTTGATTTGTAAAAAAAATTATACGGAACTGCAGACATATTGTTTTATAAACAAATGAGAACACCATAGACGGATGAAATGAATAATGATATCTTTAAAAAAAAATCATTGTTAAGTGAGCACAGAGTAATCAGTCAGTCATATTTGAATGTTTCAAGACATTTATGTCAGTGTGACAACCTGCTGATCTTTGTGTGGCTGAGCATGCAATATAGTCATGAATGAATACAGGAAGGACATAGCAATATTGAGTTTGATCCAGCGTGAATGACATGTCTCAGCCCATTAATGCCATAATGGAATTCTTAGCTCTTTCTCTACCATGCAACTCACTATATGTAAGTAAATAAAAAGGACACCTTTTTCCATGCCTTTTAGGTGCATTGGGCATATAGGGCTAGAACTCTGTTTTATAGATCAGTAGGCACTTTGTGGGTGATGTGGTCAGCATCACGCCGGCTGCCTTTACTTCCCAGGACTGCACCTCGTACCCACTCTAGGCTGGGTCAACCTGGGAGTCAGATTCATTTTTGAAAAAGTCTGGCTTTGTCAAGACCCAAACCCATGGCCTTCCGATCCACAGGCGAGCGTCTAGCCACTACACCACAACTCATTATATGTTCACTGGTTAATCTAAAAACATTATATTTTTCTAACTCTACTATCTCATTTGTTGCATTAACTCATTATATACAGATTTTTAATTTGGCCCCTTCTGTTTGAAAGTTTTATTGCATCAACTTCTTAACAATGTGCTTTGTTCCAAAGGTATTGAAGTTGCCTTTTCTTTGGAGTGAAAAGGGCAGGTTGAGAGAGAGTTTATGCTGCATGGGCAACACGTGTTTTCTACAATACTGCTGGAGCTATTTGCTATCGAGAGGAGGAACTTCACCCCTGGCCTTCATTGATTGTTTATTGTAGGACTTTTCTTCAATGGTTTTTGTTCTCTTAACCTGTCTCTTTCCCATTTCAGGGCCTGTTTTGTGATTCTCTGCCCACTTTTTCTCAGGAATCTGCCCAGTATCTCACCACTTTCAGAGTGGAATAAACATATTTTAATTAATTAGTTACTGTTGTTATGGTATTTTAACTTACTGGGACCTTTCTGTTTTGATCCATTTCAGATGAGCCTTAGTCAGCTGAGCATGATGTCAGGCTCCCAATCGTCCATTGATGAGCGTTTGACCAACGTCCAGCAACAGCAGGAAATTGAGGGACTTCGGGTGGAAGTCAAGGACCTCAATGAAAAGCTGGAGACATTGAAAATAAAGAGAGGCGAAGATAAAGTCAAATTAAAGGAATTTGAGAAGACAAAAATTCAGTTGCAGCAGGTAGTTGAGTTTATTATATAGCTTTGATTTTACATTATTCTTCCATTTTATTAACTTATTGACAAGTTCCATTATTGTCTCAGCTGACAAGATTTAAAAAAAAAATTTCTGACAGAAAGTGTGTAGAGAAAGCAGCATATGTCAACGATGTGATTACTTTCAGCAGTGAATAATGAAGAAATTGGAGACCATAGAGATGTTACTTTTGAGACAGAAAAATGGAAGACCTTTTTCACTCCAGTAATACGTTGGGCCTGTGATTGTCAGACTTAAATTTGTATCAGCCAGTCGGCACTGGATGGGAGATATGGTCAACATCATGTCAGTTACTTTTACTTTTAAAGAGATTTCCTGTTACCCATTTTAAGCTGGGTTGACTTGGGAGCCAATTTTTTTTTGTTTAACTCGGATCTGCCCGGTTGAGCATCTGGCCACTATGCTGCCGCAACTTTCTTTTGTGAAGAAAACAAATTTATTGTCAGCTGAAAGCATTACAAGATCGTTAATATATCTGATGCAGATGAAACTTATTGGGCATTTCAACAGAAGAAGTGAAATAGAGATTAAGCCTTTTGTAGTAAAATACAAGAGATGCAAAACAAAGCAGAAGAATATTGTGTTTAAAAAAGTCTTAACAGTTGAGGAACAGATAATGATGTAAGTGACACCAATTTGTCAGCTGAAAGCATTACAAGATCATTTCACGCAGGTGAAATTTATGGAGCATGTCAACAAAAAAAAAAAAGCAAAGTACAGATTAGCTTTTTGTGGTAAAATACAAGAGATGCAAAACAAAATAGAGGAATATTGTGTAAAATGTCTAAAACAGTTGGGGAACACATAATAATATCAACACCAGCTTCTTGAAAGCATCACTTGACAGAGAAGAGAGAGGGTCATGATTCTCAGTGTCTGCTCTAGATTAGTCGGCTAGAAAAAATAATTTACTGATTATCTAGGAGGTCTCCGTGGTGACGTAGTCAGGTTGCTTGCCTAACACTCTGGCCGGGGGAGGGGGTAGTGTCATGGGTTTGTTTTACCAACCACATCTTTCATTTCCTGAATGCATTTGTGGAGATCCATGAGGATCATTGCTGGAGTTCTCCATGCGGGTTCTGGGGCTATCGTACGAGGGATAATAAATTTTTTTTTTTTTAGATCGACCTTCTACCACCTAACAAGTATGTCTTGAGAATCAACTAATTAGGGATCTGCCTGAGAGGTGAGGCACCAACAGTCTGTATACAAATAAAACAGATGCGCACACAAAACTCAGGTTCTGAAACAAGATTACAGTCCAGAAGTAGCTCAACAACCAAAATGTTCTGCTGGAGTTTACAGCCAGTGAATGCAAAGAAGAAGAAGAAGCAGGAGAGAGAGCTGCTGAGTTGCGAAGCTCATGCTTTGTGCGATGCTCTCGGAAGGCAACTAACTGTTCTTTTTTTTTTTAGAGAGACCAAGCCAGATGTTATAAAATCCAGTGCAGTGAAGTCGATACTCTCAACACTAACTTATATTCATGATCAAATGTCCATCTATAAAGATCACAAGTTGATTTGGTCTTAATAAAAATGTTGACTTCTATTCTTTCATATTTGATCTATTTAGCTGCAAGAATATAAATCCAAGATGCAGGAAACCCATGCTGATTTACAGAGACAGTTGCAGGCATCAAAGAAGGTAATTACTCCAAGCCCAAAACAATTTTAGAGCACTAGTGTTTTAAATCATTGTAGTGTTTTCTCTCATACTATAGTGTAAGTTTTGCTGTAACTGACAAAAGAAGCATAAAATATGGTGAATATATTAGAAATTTATATTTTAATAAGTAACATTTCATTAAAAGACATTGGAAGATATAAAAAGGAAAGAAAAAAAAATATATAATGATTGAAAAATAGATTGTGACTTACTATATAAAAAAGATGGTAACCATAGAATGATTCTAAAATAGATGTTAACTGTGCAGTTTATTATTTAAAGTGAGATAGCATATATAAAGTGAACTTTTAAAATAATGGTAACCTTAGAATGATTATCAAAAAGAAAGTATCTGTAGAAACATCTTAATTAGTATTATAAGAAAAAATATGGTAGCTATAGAGTAATATTTAAAAAAAATGATTACTGTGGAATTATTATTATTATTATTTTTTTTTTAAAGCAGAGAATACGTATTTGATTATCGTATAACAGCAGTTCAGGTTTGTTAAAACTGATAGAGAAGTTGTGTAAAAAAAATTGTATTACTTGTTGCTGTAGTGTAATATGGTTTAACAAATAATGGAATGAAAACGTAGGAAGCAAAAATCAAAAACATCATGAGCAAGTTTATCAATCATGCACAGATGTGAAGCAGGGGAGCTAATCAAGGATTAAGAGTCTTTTTAACAAGCTGTGATGAGAGTAATATTCTCCTGTGGCTGTCTGATGATGATCTTCATTTATTGTGCATTTTTACTAATATCCGCCTGAACAATGGCTTTTGTCTAAGATACAGCATTTATTTCATTTAGTTAAATTTTAAATTTTTTTACAGTGAGTAAATTGATGGGAAAGACCTTAAACCAGTGGTTTTCAACCTTCCTAATGCCACGACTCTTTAATACAGTTCTTCATGTTGTGGCTACCCCTGACCCTACAATTATTTTTGTTGCTACTTCATAGCTTCAATAAATTGTGTTTTGTGAGGGTCTTTGGTGACCCCTGTGAAAGGATTGTTCAACTCACCCCCCTCCCCCTTTCCCAAAGGGGTTGCCACCTACAGGTTGAGATCCTCTGCCTTAGACTGATTAAGAATATATACTGGAAACAAATATTGATCTTGGATTAGTATCAGCCAATCAGGAGAAGGGTGCGGAAAGGATGTGTGATCTCTCCAGATCTGTTCCTTATATTTTGAAAATATTATGAGGCATCTAAAAGACATAGGGGGGATCAATATCGGAGTATATATCATCAACAGTATATAATACGTAGGTGATGCTGTGTTGATTGCAGATAGTGAAAAGGATATGTTGTGTGTATTGGGTGAGGTAATAGTTCACAGTGAGCATTTAAACTGTTAAATGTTAACTGTTAAATTGTGAGAAAGTAAAGTGATTAGAAAAATGAGTTGTAGGTGAGTCAGAGTTTTTCAGACATGTGGAAAAGAATGGATTTGAGGACTTGGTAAAACCTGTCCAGACTGATGGAATGAGAGGAAGGGAAGGGTTAAAAAAAAAAATACAATACCTGGATGGCCTAGTCATATGGATGGGTGAGACAAACGCACAAATGTGATCCTATGAGATGGTGACACATGATGATCTTCGCTAATTGGTATGACATATGATGGTTATGATGATGGCTGTGGATAAAGTCATAATAAAACTGGAAATGTGAAAAAAAAACTGCGGAAAAATGAAGAAGAGGAAAAAATGGGATGTGTAACTATTACAGTAATAAAATGAACAAATTTATAAATGAGCAATAAAAGTTTTTTTTTTTTTTCATAAGTAGAGAGCAACAGACCATTGACATAAAGATTCTAGATCACAGCCTAAAACAAGTGCAAGAATTTAAATACTTGGGAAGTATCTTTACATCCAATGGTAAAATAGACAGAGAGATCGAAGCAAGAATCCAACAAGCCAACAATGTCGCATACCAGCTTGCCCCAATTTTAAAACACCCTGCTGTCCCAGCTGAGATAAAAAGACAAATTATAAATACAATCTTTTTACCGACATTAGGTTATCAATGTCAGACTTGGACATTAACAAAAGAACACGAGAGAAGACTAACCACCTGTGAGATGTTTGAGAATGGCTGCGAATAAAACCAGAAGAGATCGAGTGAGAAACGATGTGATTACAAGAACTATTGGAACCATACCCATCGTTAAATTTATTGAGAAGCAAAGAATGAAATGGTTTGGTCACCTAATGAGAATGGAACCAACGATGCCAGCATCAAGAGCATACAACATGAAAATCGAAACACCAAGAGGCAGGGGAAGATCAAGAAGAAGATGGATTGAAGGAGTCACGGACAACTTGAGACTTCATAACATCACGGCATATGAAGCGACTGAGCGCGCCCTGGCTCGGTTGCCGATCATCTGATAGACTGCGATGCCTAGCGGCACAAGCAGATTTTGACAAAAGAAGAAGAAGAATAAAAGTTTTAATCAAAGGAAAATTTAAATAGGCATTACAAATGAATAAGGTATGCGTGAAACTTTAATTAATCAGAACAATGCATGATCACTTTATATAAAAATATATTTATATAATAAAAGAGATAATGTTATGTGGAGAAAAGAATAAAACAAATTAATGGTAGAAACAAGACCATAGTAGATTAACGTAGGTGGATGTAAAAACAATAATTTGCTTTAATTTTATTTATCACTGTCCTTTGGTTATTTTTTATGTCTGCAAATTATACTTGCTTTTAAATGTTTGTTGCAGAGTTTGCATATTTCTTTATTTGACGCCAGACTTCTGCAAATATTTTGTTTGAATTTGCAGGAGTTCTCAGAGCTTCAGCAAGAATTTGAACAGTACAAGGAAGAAATGGCAGATGTTACTGAAACAGTTGAGATGGCCACTCTGGATAAAGAAATGGCTGAGGAAAAGGTCAGTGCATCTAATTTGTGCCACATTCTTCATACATGACTTATAATGTTTCTTTCTTTCTTCTCTTTTGTTTGTTTGTTTGTTTATGTATTATCAGGATAAATATCATTGCACTTAATGCAGGCCTATGGGTTCTTATTTTACATTAATATATATCAGAGAGTAAATATGCTTACTATACCTGTTGTTCACTGTTTGTGACTGATTGTGATCATGCCTTTATTTGTTCCATTTGGCGCTTTAGCTCATTATTTCAATGACAGTACTGATTTAACAGAAGTGTACATTGTTCTCAACAGGCAGAAAGCTTGCAAGCAGAGTTGGACACTATGAAAGAGAAAGTTGAGGAACTATCTGTAGACCTGGAACTGCTTCGAAACGAGATCTCCACAAAAGGTAGCTTTCTACATTTATCATCATCATCATCCTTTTGCCGTGTTCGTACATCACATAGGGCAGGCAGTCCCATTCCATTCTGTTCTCCGCAGTCTTTTTAATAGCATGGGTTGAATTGTAGGTTTCTCTTGGATGTCCACACTTACTCAATCCATTTATGTCCTATTTAAGTGCCTGTTCTGGGTGCCTAAGGATATTCCAGATATACTGCCATCTGCGTATAACACCTTTGCCTATTCATTTCTCTGATGTCTTCCTCACTGCTAAACACTATTCAACTAAACAGTAACACAGTTCATGTAGAGGTCTTTTGAACAGTGTCACTATCACTATCAATATCACCACAGCCTGTTGGAAAGGCCTTTGCCAGTTCATCTGCCTCCATGCTTTCCAGTACTCTTCTTTCGAAACCACTGTGGCATTTGACCATGTTGACATGGGAAGTCACAAAACTGACACTTGTAGTTGAGTCCAGTTTCCTGTAAAAGCCACTTGACATGCTGTAGTCACGTGTTCCTGTGAAACATAGCTACCAGCATTAATATTGTATGCACATGCACAAACATTTAGGACGACTGAAATTGATTATGTTTACTAAAATAGCATTTTAAGGGGGCTTTTCCTTGTGAACAAAATGCTTTTACAGTAGAAATTATCAGGCTATAATTTCACATTAATCCCAGTGGTTCCCAGCAACTGGGTTAGGTGATCAGGTATGAGTAACCATCTTAATGGTTTAGGTGATCAAAGTCAATTAATTTTCTACTGCATTTGTGTTTGCTTATTACTCTTCTTATTCAACCGCAGTTTATAATATTGTTTTAATCCATAAATAGAACTGATAGAATTTGTCTTGTGACCAACCCCACGTCCTCGTCGTGAGAGGTGGTAACAGGACAAAGTAGGGGATTGCTAGGTGTGGGCGAAGTATGGTGTGGCCTCGTGCCACGGGACCGCTACGGTAGCCATGAAGGCCACCCTGGGTCACCCCGAAACGTCCTGGCCAACGGGGCTCTGGTGAAGTTGCGATAGGCCTAGCAAGCCGGCAATGGATTTTTTACCGCTACAAAAATCAAAATGAGATATAAACGGACTGATCAAACGGTATCTGACCATGGCAATGTTAAGGGACTCAGATAAAATTATTACTTTGAAAATTAAAAGAGGAGAACAAGCTGAAACATATATACAGATATATGCACCATGCAATGATAATTATACAGAAGAACAGAAAGATGAATTCTTTGACGATCTGTCTGATGAGATAAAGAAAGTTGAGGGAAGCAGCATACTAAATGTAATGGGTGACTTCAACGGGAGGGTAGGAAATAACAGAAGAGTATACGAACAGTTTTTAGGTCCACATGCAGCTAAGAACAGTGATAGAAATGGAAATGGTCAAAGAATATTGGATCTATGCAGCCAGCACAATCTTTTTAATACGAACACATTCTTTGACCATAGAGATTCACAACTTTACACTTGGTACAAATGGAATGATATCTCCATCAAGAGCCAGATTGACTTTATACTTACCAGAGTTCAAGGAAGAAGGAGAATTCTTGATTCAAGTGCAATCCCTAATGGTCTATGTGACTCTGACCATAAAATAGTTGTGTTAACAGCAAAACATCTTACATTAAAGAAACACAGAAAGAAATTAAACAAAAACAAGGATCTCATCAAGATAGCAAATCTGAAACAGGAAGGAGTAAAAGAACAGTTACAACAGAAAGTAGAGACAGCATTCAAACAACTTCCACATGTAGTTGGCAATATTGAGGAAGAATGGAGTATATATATAAAAACACTATGCTTAGTATTGCAGAAGAATTATGTGGAAAACGGAAGAGTGGAAACAGACGGGGAAATAACAAATATTCACCTTGGTGGTGCGAAGAAGTAAAAGAAGCAATTAAAAAGAAAAAAGACTTATATAAACAGTGGATAAAATCAAAGAAAGAAGAAAATTATATAAACTATAGACTGCAAAGGAGAGAAACCAACAGGAGTGTCAAGAAAGCAAAACAAGCATCCTGGGAACATTTCGGTAAGTCACTAGCAGAAAATGAGAAAACAGCCAGCAGAAAATTTTTCAAAGTGGTTAAAAATATGCGGAAAAGAGATGAGAGCTACAACCCCACTGAAATAATTAATGATAAGACAGGAAGGCCATTGATAGATCCACCCGAGATTGCAGAAAGATGGAGGGAATACTTCAATGAGCTCTTTAATCCTCTAGGAGATCATCAGGAAAGAACAACTGAAGAGCACAGAGCAACAGTGTTAGAACCACACATACTAATGGATGAAATAGAAAAAGTCATTAAACAGTCTCCCAAATATAAAGCACCAGGAGCTGATAGATTACCAACAGAAATAATTCAAGCAGCAGGTGAAAGCAGCATCAGATGGCTTCACAGAATATTCAATGCAGCATGGGTACAACAAACGGCCCCTATTGATTGGCAACATGCAATAGTTATACCATTGTGGAAGAACAAAGGAAGCAAACGAGAATGCGGTCAATATCGAGGCATCTCTCTTTTAAGCCATGTTGGCAAAATGTATGCCAAGATAATAGAAACAAGACTGAGACCAGTGATAGAACCACAGCTGGCAACAGATGGGATTTAGGAGAAATAGAAGCTGTACAGATGCAATCTTCACACTTAAACAGTTAATAGAAAAGAACATTGAATACAATAAGAACTTATTTGTGGCATTCGTAGACCAGGAGAAGGCATTTGACAGAGTCGACAGACAATTATTATGGAAAATAATGGCAAGATATGGAGTAAGCGAACACCTCATCGACGTGTGCAAAAGTTTGTACAGGGATTGTAGAAGTGTAGTTAGAATAAATCAGGGAACATCTCATCCTTTCACAGTGACATCTGGAGTAAGACAGGGGTGTGTCTTATCACCACTGCTGTTTATCACCTACATCGACAGTATATGCAAGAATGCCAAGCCCATGAATGAAGATCTTAGTAAGATCAACGAATTACTCTTTGCAGATGACCAGGCCTTGATAGCAGATACAGCCATGAAATTGCAACAACATCTAACATCCATGAATGAAGAATGTAAAACAAATAATATGAAAATCAACACTGAAAAGACAGAAGTAATGTCAATAGGAAAAAATAAGACAGATCTAAACATAACAATAGAATACAAAGGCATTAAACAGGCATCTAAGTTTAAATATCTGGGAACTACATTTATCGAAGATGGGAAATTGGATAAAGAAATTGACATTAGATGCAGTAAAGCAAACCAAGTATTGGGACAGCTAGCCCCCCTCTTACAGCATAAGACAATCCCAGTCAGCACAAAGAGACATCTTATTCAAAGCATATTTATTCCAACTCTGTGCTACCAGTGCCAGACATGGTCACTCACAACAAACCATAAAAGAAAATTAGTAACCACGGAAATGAGATGTCTGAGAAGGGCTGTAGGAGTGACCATAAGAGATAAGATCAGAAATGAGATCATAAGAGAACAAGTCGGCACAGAACCAATTCTGGATTACATACAAAGACAGCAAGTGAAATGGTTTGCCCACTTAGAGAGAATGCCTTGTGACACCATACCATACAAAGCATACATGGGAAGAGAAGAAGGACGTAGAGCACGGGGTAGACCAAGAACAAGATGGAAGGATAACATCAGAGAAACTCTACAACAGCACGATGTGCCTATGGTCGAGGCAGCCAGAAGAGCTAGAAACAGAACCTTATATCTCCCTTGACACCCACAGCGGTAAAAGAGGAAGTGAAGAAGAAGAAGAAGAAGAAGACCTATGTAAAAAAAAATGTTATTAAAAAAAATTTTTTTTAAGAGGCATTGGGGGTGGGGGGCTCCCAAAATATGGATCATTTTTCCCTAGGTCACCTAGGCAAAACGGTTGTTAATGATGCCAAAAATTTAAGTCTTGGTAGCATAATTCTTTTTATGAGCCAGTTGTCTTCTGTGTTGAAGTTTCGTAAAACACTATTTAGTAAATAAATAGTTTGATGTTTCTTTTTTTTTCAGGGTCAGATGGCGTAGCAGCAACTTTTGAAATGAAGCAGTTAGAGCAGCAGAATGAAAGGATGAAGGATGCCTTGGTAAAGTAAGTATTGAAACTTCACAGTTGAGACATTTGAGAATTATGTCAATGATGAGAGCAAATAGCAGTTTTGAGCCCAAATAGCAGTCTTTGGCCAGACTATTGTGTTTTAATGCATATATCTGTGCGCTTGCCTGTATGTGCGTGTGTGTGTAAATGCACATATATAATGTTAGAAACAGTAATTTTTCAGGTAGAAACACTAATCTTAAAGCTAAAAAAAAAAATTTTTTTTTTTTTTAAACAGACTTCGGGACATGCTGAACTCCGAGAAGCAGGACCGGGCTCGCAGTGATAAACAAATAGAGAAGCTAGAAGGGGAGCTGTCTTTGTTGAGGAAAGACAGAGAGCGTCTACAGGCTCTGGTGTCCCAGTATGAGAAGGAGTTGATTGATCTGAAGGAGCAGGTGGATGCTGCTCTGGGAGCTGAGGAAATGGTTGAGCAGTTGACTGAAAGAAACCTCAAGCTGGAAGACGAAATCAGAGAGATTCTAGAGGAGAAGAATGATTTGGTAAGTAAAAGTGATTTTCAGTGATCTCTTTAAATATATGAAAATGTGTTTCTTCAAATATGTGAATATGAGTGGTGTCTTTTATATGAGTGATGTCTTGGCATAAGTAAAAATGTGTGATCTCTTCAACTATGTGATGATGATTGGTGTCTATGAATATGTGAATATGAGTAGTAGTGTCTTTGAATATGTGATTATGAGTGGGGGTCTTGGAATATGTGAATATGCTTGGTGTCTTGTATATGTGAATGGTGTCTTGGAATATGTGAATTTGAGTGGTGTCTTGAAATATGTGAATATGAGTGGTGTCTTGGAATATGTGAATATGAGTGGTGTCTGAAATTGTAAATGAGAAATATGTGGAATCTTTGAATATATGATTGGTGTCCTGTATATGAGAAAGGTGTCTTGGAATATGTGAATATGATTGGGGTCCTGTATATGTGAAAGGTGTCTTGGAATCTTTGAATATGTGTGTATGATATGAAGGTGTCTTGGAATCTGTGAATATGAGTGGTGTCCTGTATATGAATATGAAGGTGTCTTGGAATCTTTGAATATGATTGGTGTCCTGTATATGAGAAAGGTGTCTTGGAATCTTTGAATATGATTGGTGTCTGTATATGAGAAAGGTGTCTTGAATCTTTGAATATGATTGGTGTCCTGTATATGAGAAAGGTGTCTTGGAATCTTTGAATATGATTGGTGTCCTGTATATGAGAAAGGTGTCTTGGAATCTTTGAATATGATTGGGGTCCTGTATATGAGAAAGGTGTCTTGGAATCTTTGAATATGATTGGTGTCCTGTATATGAGAAAGGTGTCTTGAATCTTTGAATATGATTGGTGTCCTGTATATGAGAAAGGTGTCTTGGAATCTTTGAATATGATTGGTGTCCTGTATATGAGAAAGGTGTCTTGGAATCTTTGAATATGATTGGTGTCCTGTATATGAGAAAGGTGTCTTGGAATCTTTGAATATGATTGGTGTCCTGTATATGAGAAAGGTGTCTTGGAATCTTTGAATATGATTGGTGTCCTGTATATGAGAAAGGTGTCTTGGAATCTTTGAATATGATTGGTGTCCTGTATATGAGAAAGGTGTCTTGGAATCTTTGAATATGATTGGTGTCCTGTATATGAGAAAGGTGTCTTGGAATCTTTGAATATGATTGGTGTCTTGGAATATGTGAATATGATTGGTGTCTTGTATATGAGAAAGGTGTCTTGGAATATGTGAATATGATTTGGTGTCCTGATATGAAAAGGTGTCTTGGAATATGTGAATATGATTGGTGTCCTGTATATGAGAAAGGTGTCTTGGAATCTTTGAATATGATTGGTGTCCTGTATATGAGAAAGGTGTCTTGGAATCTTTGAATATGATTGGTGTCCTGTATATGAGAAAGGTGTCTTGGAATCTTTGAATATGATTGGTGTCTTGTATATGAGAAAGGTGTCTTGGAATCTTTGAATATGATTGGTGTCCTGTATATGAGAAAGGTGTCTTGGAATCTTTGAATATGATTGGTGTCCTGTATATGAGAAAGGTGTCTTGGAATCAGGGCTGCCAATGGGATTTTGTTTTGAAAAACCCAGATAAGCTGAACAAAAACCCAAGCAAGACATAAGCAATGAACCAAAAATAATAAAAAACCTAGATTGTTAAAAAGTACAAATTTTATAGTTAAGAAATAAAACATTTACCCACTTTTATATAAGGATTTTTTAATAACCCCAGATTTCACAATTTGAAACCAAGGCGTCATATAAAAACCCAAGGGAGGGAGGTGGGCAGTATTGGTAGCTCTGCTTGGAATATTTGAATATGGTTGGTGTCTTGTATATGTGAATGATGTCTTGGACTATGTGAATATGATTGGTGTCATGGAATATATAAATGTAAGTGGTGTCTTGAAAAATGCCAATATGAGCAGTGTCTTGGAATATGTGAATATGATTGGCGTGTTGGAATATGTAAATATGATTAGTATCTTGGAATATGTGAATGTGAGTGGTGTCTTATAATTTATGAATGTGAGTGATGTCTCTAAAACTGACAGGTATACTCTGTGCAGAGTGGCAAGCATCACTTCAGAAGTCCCGGGTAGTTAGCATCCTTTGGATATTTTCTCCAGGTCACGCTGGTGTGTTGAGAAATTAGAAGGCAGACTGGCCGGTTCTTCACCGCTTGGTGGTGAACTGATGTATGACAGCCAGATGTTGTGAGGGCCCTTTGGGAGCGATTGAACAGTGTGGAGGCACAGATAGATCATTATGGTCTGAGGAAAATGGCACTGCAGGGAGTTACCAGGAGATATGGCCGGCTCTCAGCACTCAGAAAAATTGGCGAGACACATACACAGTCAGACATTTACTGGTGCCATCGGAATCAGAATCTCTTCGCTTGCTGCTGAAGATGGGAATGGATTGCTTATAGGGGTGTTCTGAGTGCTGTGATATCAATTCTTAATTCAACATTAAAAAAACAGTGAAAGTGATTGTGAAATCCAAGTTTCAGCTTCATAGCAAAAAGGTCACCCCATAGTTGCCCACTCCTGTGCCAGTGACAAACCCACAATATGTCCATCGCTGTCCCTTTTGGAAAAAAAATTGACACAGCCTGCAGTCTCAGCATATCCACCAGCATACACACAAATTAAGAGCATAAGGCAGCCATAGAAGAACTAACCCAGATGTCTGACCTTAGAAAGGGAGTTCATCATTGAAGGAAGCAGCAGTTACAAACAGATCAGTTGTTTCACACATGGTTAAATTTAAGCTCATATAGCACCATTGCTTCAGTGGCAACAGGCCACATGCCATTTTCTGAATCTACATTTTACAGCACGCTGTTGGTCGTGGTAAAAAAGAAATACAAATGAAATCCACAGCTCACAGTGTTGCACCATGCACTCAACTCAGTAGCTGGGCGATAAAACTATAAAATTTCAGTCTACATATGGAGGAAAAGGCAACAGCCACCGTCTGTCAGAAGCAGAAATTTGCCACAAATAAAGCAGTGAATGTGTCTTTCCTTTATTTTGACCAAAAATGAATGTGAGAAGTTCATGGAATATGTGAATTTGATTGATTGGTAGTTTAGAATGTGTGAATGTGAGTGACACCTTTATATAAGATTGAGTAGAGGTTTGCAGAGGAAGTATTATCTGTTCAGCTTTGCTGAACTTGATTTCTTCACTAATTATATTATGGTAATGTTTTCCATGACTAGGAAGCTCTGAATGACATGAATGAGGAACTGCAGGAGAATGCCCGGGCTACAGAGTTGGAGCTGAGAGAAGAGCTGGACATGAAGAACATTAAACTGCTAGAGGTATAGACTGCATTTTGTTCTTTATATGCTTGTACAAATGCAACCAGTTTTATACTGGATGTTATTTATGTCTTTAAGGACATGAAGGGTTTCCCTTCACTTTTTTGAAGAATGGTTTGGGTCTAGGTCTACGAAAAATTAAAACCTGGTACCAACTGGCACATAATACCATGTTGAGAAAATATAATGAACCCGGCAATAGGAGGAGCAAATAGTTAAATGACACATCCAAAATAACCTTATAGAAATAAAAATTATAAAATTTCATACATTAGAAATAGCACACAAACCATCTCTGAAACCATCCAACATCTCTGAATGGTAACTGGAGGAAAAGAATAGAATATGGTGAGTTTCCTCTGTTCATCTACTGTTAAAGTGTAAGGGCTCATTACATTCAGGTTTATAAAATTATTAAGTGTTGATGTCATCAGTTGTTATTGTATTTTCACAGAAACTGATGTTGCCAGGAATAAGCTAATCATTCAGACTAAAATCAATGGCATCATTATTTGCCATGCCAATAAGCATGGGTGAGCATTGCTAGCTGTTTTATACAATCTTCAGTCTCAGTTAAGATCTGCTTTCTCCCGTGAATGATGCCAAATGGCTACAATATTCTTAAGTGCCTCTAGTCTTATGACATGACTAATGAACACTGTTCTATCTCTTTTTATATTTATTTGTATATTATATAATCTTTTTTTTTTTTTTTTTTTTCATTTTCCCACCAGTCTTTGTTAGTTACTCCAGGTGTCAAATCTATTCACATTCAGAATCAACATCTTACTGGCTAACAGTCTTTGTTAGTTACTCGAGCTGTCGAATATATTCACAGTCAGAATCAACATTTTGCTGGCTCACAGTCTTTGTTAGTTACTCCATCTGTCAAATATATTCACAATCAGCATCAAAATCTTGCTGGCTCCAGGCATTTCCTGGTGTGTTCTTTTACATATACTAATATTGTCTGCCATATAGGAAAACAGCTTTGACACAACATTTCAGCATTCTGTGTTTTAAAACTTTATAAATTCTTATCAAAATGTCTTTGAACTTTTTTTTTTCTTTACAGCTTCAGAGAAAGTTGGATGGCACCCAGGAAACATTTGCAGAGTATGACAAAACTTTGAATAAATTCAGGGAGCTGGTAGCCAATTTGCAGGTATCTTGTGTTTTTGTGTTGCTCGTCGTCATCAACTTCCTCTTTTGTTATTATGGAAGCTTAGATTTGGGTCTCAGCAAAAATAAAGCCAATTAGTGTTGTTAAATTGATCACATGACCCGTGAAATGCTGATTTATTTACTAAAAAATATGAATTTTAGCACCATTTGCTCAAATATGCCTCGTGGTAGAAAAAATTTTTTTTTTTGTTTTTAACTAAATTACAGCCTTGTGGCAAGATCAGATTCAAATAGTATTTTTAGAAGCAACTGAGAAAAAAAAACCTGGTGTGAAACAATTAAATAAACTGATTATAGGTTGTGTGATTTCTTGACTGATTGAGTAGATTAATCGACAGCCTAATGATTAGCATATTGTCAGATCATTAAAACCCATATTGATAATACTAGATAACATAATTGTTGAAAGGAGAAGAAATGCAAGCAGCAGCTTTTAAACAAAAATTAAAAATTTCTTTAAAAAAATGCCATATCAGAATTCTTGTTGAAAAAATTATAAAATATGTGGTTTATAGTATTTACTTCTTTGTTTATCAGGATCAGCTGCGTAGTAAGCAAGTGGAGAATGAATCAAAAGTGGAGACACCTACTGCTGAACTCATGGACTTCAAGACTAAATTTGCTGAAACTAAAGCATATGCTAAGGTTTGTCTTAGAAAAACTTGCTGTTTTCCCTGTTCATAGCTGTTGGTTTCTTTATATATTCATATTCTGTACTACTTGTGTGGAAATTGATAGACTTTTGATCTTTGTCATATCTTGCAACTGGGTTTAGTATAATCAGGATGAGAAAATGAGGGTGATGGTGGTGTTACACAACACTCCCTCCATTGCTGACTCTTTTTTTTTTGGGCCTGTGTGTGTCCCAGACACTTAAACCCATTCTGTTATAATCATTAAGTTATCTCTTTCTGGTCTTGACTGAACCATTTTTGATGTTCATCATTCTGCCTCAGATATGCAACTGTTACTGAATTAACCCCTGCGGGTTCATACATTTCTTGTTGTAAAGTGACAACTTTCTGTAAAGAAAAATAGTGAGAGACTCATTTCTCTGGTGCTGGAATCAGGTAAGTCGCACTTCAAACTTCATAGCAAATGGGTCACCTCATAGTTGCTCCGCTCCGTTCCTGTGCCAAGGAAAAACCGCACAGAATGTCCATCGCTGTCCCTTGTGAAAAAAATTGACAGACTTCAGTCTCAGCAAATCCAACAGTATGCATGAGCATTAAATGCATAAGGCAACCATCAACACAAACAGTCAAACACTAGGCATTTTATTCATTATTAATGAAAGCAGCAGTTACAACAGATCAGTAGCTGCACGCACAATTAACTGCATAAGGCACAACAGGTTCTCTGGCAACTGGCCACTCACCATTTTCTGAATCTTCAGTTCACAACACAAACCTTGTTGGCCATCAACAATAATTCCAAATGAAATGTGCAGCTTGCAATGTTTCACCATGCAGTTGCATGCAAACATGCACTCATCTCAGTAACTGGAGGAAGGAACTGTGTCTTTTCAGTATAAATATGAAGTAAAATGCAACACTTAGCCATTGCCAGAAGCAAAAACCTGCCAAGACTAAAACAGTCTACCTTTGATTGGTGTCAGTTGAGTTAAATCTGCTTCACACAAAAGTGCTATGAAAAGAGATCCTGGTCAGTATACAACTTAACACTGGTACATCAGCACATCTACATCCCAATGTCACTTTTACAGAAGGAAGACGTTTCACTCGGGATAACTTTGAGACAGGAACAGGAAATAAACATGCATTACTGCATCATAATAGCAGTAGGAAGATTGCTGAACGTCTAGTGTATCCAACCTTTCATTGAATACAAACAGTTGCATCTGATGTGATTATCATTGTTTGTAGGAGCAGAATTATTGTTAAAATGTCAAGTGTGTTTGTTTTTAGGTGTTGTCGTGGTGTATATGAAATCAAGATGGCCACATTATAAAGTGGATTATTGATGTAGTTTATAAATATTCTAATTGAACATGTTTTTCGGGTGTCGCCATAATGAGTATGAAATAAATGTGGCCACATTATATTGTGAATTATTGATGTAGTTTATAAATGTTCTAATTGAACACAGATCGTTGGTTATCTCAATGTTGCTGGTTACAATATTATTATTGTTATTATTATTAACATCATCATCATGTTTCAGACAATTGACATGGAGCTGAGGAAGCTTGATGTTCAGCAGGCTAATACTCATATCAAGATGCTGCTGTCTTTTATGCCTGAGGCCTTTATGGGGAGAGGAGGCAAGGGCATTTTTTGTTCGTTATATTATTAAAATATATTTTCTCTTGTAGCTGTTGTTAATATCCGTGTTTTCCACCCTTTCAAGAGAAAGCTAGATTACCGATCCACTCCAACAGGATCAGGTGGCTCATACAAAGCATTGAATATTTTAGTGGTTAAAAAGTCAAGACTGACAGGAATCAGGTCTGTATGAGATAGATGATCTGAAATGTATCAGCCACATCACCCCTGGTCTTTCGCTGTAAAGTGATCTTACTATGTTGCTAAATAACTGAATTGAGCATTGTTTATACTTTGTAATTTTCACCCCAGAAACCTTTTGGTAAAAACCTGTGAAACCAGGGATTGGGAATGCTTTTTAAAAACAAAAACTTTTTCTTTTACAAAAGTCACTTAAGAAAAATGTTTTTGTCATTAGGCCTCAGTTAGCAAAAATTGTGTTGACAAGGGCTCTCATTCAGTCCCTTGGAATTATTTTGTTGTGTGTATAATTTTGTGATTCCAATACCTCTTGTTACATTTTGTATGCTGTCATAATCTATTTACATGATATTTTGATTGATGACATTCCTTTCAATTGTTTAAGGATTTTTTAAAACTTATATGTATTTATATATATATATATATTTTTTTTTACTTATGTTTCTGCAAATTCATAAACATTCAGAGTTGTGAATTCATTAATTTGAGCTTAATATTTAACAAAAAAAAATTTTTATTTCAAGTAAAATTATATATATATATTTTGATTGCATAGTATTGGTCTTTTATGAAAGCTGACCTTAAAATGTCTTTCATAGTCTATATGGCTCAGGTAGAAGGCAAAATTCAGACAGGTTTGCATCCTTGAGAACATCAGGCGAGGAGAGGAGTGGGTCAAAGTGCCACCTGAACAGTCAGACTTGTGTAGGGTTATAATCATACTGAGCCAGCAATGCAGAGACTGGCCAGCAGGTGCCACGGAGTTGGAAAATCAGCAGTAATTCAAGATGATGCTCGCTCAGGGGATTTGATCATGTACACAGATAGTTCAGTGTCAAGAGGCAAAAGAAGTGCTTGGGGCTTCTTAGCAAAAGTTAATGGTCGACGTTTGGTGCAGGAGAGCCTAGCATATAATACCACAACATCCAGTTTAAGAATGGAGGTGGAAGCAGTCACTGCAGCTTTCCGCTGGTTAGAGAACACACACACACACATCCTGATTGTAACTGACTCAGAAGATCAGAACAGGCATGCTTCATGCAGAGTGGCATGCTTCACTGCGGAAGACACGGGTGAGGAGTATTGTCTGGATTTGAACGCCGGTGTGTTGGGAAATGAACAGGCGGATAGACTGGCTGGCTCTGCACAAATTGGTGGAATGCTGATACATGATAAGGCAGACATGGTTGGTGCCTTGTGGGAGAGTGTGTCCAGTTCGGAGAAGCAGATGGATCACTACAGTCTGGTGAGACTGATGCAGGGAGAGTGATGAGAGGCTCTGGCAGATGCTTGAGGCTGAGAGGAAAGGCAAGACGGATGTTTAATCAGAATGCTTCTTTCATCATTAGTGTCAGAACTCTTCGCTGGCTTCTGAAAATGGTGACGGAGCGCTTATGGGAATGCCTCGTATCCTGTAATGTCGGTTCTTAAATCAGATCAAATCAAATCATAATCTATGTTTTGTTATACGCAGGTGATCATGATGCTCTATGTGTGTTGCTAATGATTCCTCGCATCATCAACAAGGCTGAACTCCTTGCCTCACAGGTGAAAGATAAGGTGAGATGTTCTATGATATGTTGACATTATACCTGTATAGAGAGTGTAAACTGTTGTCTGACACCTGATGAGATAGGAAACCAGTCTGTCATTCCTTCTGTTGTTCTAAATGTGCACTGACTATCTTGGTAAAGAGCCATGATGTTACCCAACAGTTGATCTTGAATACCATAATCTTCTAGAATTTTCCATTGTTTGCAATGATTGACTTGATTGAATGCCCTCTCTTGATCAAAAAAAAAAAAGGTGTCAAGGTCTAAAATTATAGTGTAATTTTAACTGTAATTGAAACTCTTAGGTTGGTGTAACTTTTAGAGCTTTACCACTATGCATTGCATGTTTTTCTTTGAAGTATTTGAAAATTCATTATTTAACAATCATTTTTTTTCCAGTTTGATATTACTGATAAAATTGAGCGAGACCATGTTTTGAAGAGTCACAAAGCTGAGCAGTGTAGCTTTGCTAACCACCTGATCTTGCTGCTGAATGTGCTACAAGGCATCATGAAACAGTATGAAAGGTCAGTCTTATGTTTATCAGTTGAATGTGTTTTTTCCCCCCACATTTGGTGAGTTTTACACTATATCCTAATATGGTAAACAGTATAAAAAATAAAGAACACTTTGAATGCCAGTGACACATCGGGGCATATGGTGCTAGACACTTATTTTTGTAGACCGATTGGCACTTAGTGAGTGACATGATCAGCATTGTGCTGGCTGCCTTTACTCCCCCTGACACAGGCAGCAGTGGACTACCGGTCTAATATGGCAGATAGGCAAGACAAGTCCATTTCGCTTTGAGGTTATTTTTGGTTCTGGCAATGGTTTGCTAATGTAGTTTCCACATAATGGACTGGAGTCTGTGGTTTCAAAACCTAACCTACTGAGTCATATATTTGATGCAACATTATAAGCTGTATATTTTGTGTGGAATGGCTTTGATTTGCTCCTGCAGCAGTTTTGTCATGATATTGAGAAAACAGTCGGTTTGCGCTTAAGTTGGCAGCATGCCTTATGCAGTAATTTTGTGTGTTTGTAGCCATCTTATCATGACTGACTGCTAATTTCCATGAACAATAAAATAAGTTCTGATGGCTGCTATTAGTGTTGGCATCCCGGGCGGCTACCTTGTGCATTTATTATTTGTACGTGCTTCTGCATTTTGCCAGGACTTAATTGTTTGTTTACTAGGTTTCAAATGGGACAGTGTGATGCTTTTGGCATGATTTTTCAGTGGCACAGAAACAGCACAATAATGGGGTTACACTATGCACCGAAGTTTAAATCTGGACTACTCCTGTGACAGCATGTAGGAATCTTTGCTGATGCTTTATAGTACACGTAGTGAGCGGTCTCTTGAGGTAATCTGAAGGAGGAATTGAAATACTAATAGAGTATCAACATAGTCCTTAATTGTTATCTATGGACTGGTCGTGTCTGAAAGCTATTACAGTTTACGTTTGTAAATAAAGTCAGGGACCCGTTTTACACATTTGACAATGGGTATATAGTGGTAGACCTAGGCATTTATAGGCCAGTCTGCAGTCAGTAAGTACTGACTTACATCAGGCTGGTTGCCTTTACTTCTCAAGACATTACCATTTTAGGCTGGGTCAGCCTAGGAGCCAAAGTAAATTTTGAAAAAAATCTGCCTCAATGCGGATTTGAACCCCAGGCTTTTAGGCTGCCAGGCAAATGTCACGCCATGTCTATGCTATCTTGACTCCTAGATTACATATTTAAGAGAACATTATATCTTTTGTTTTCCTCTAGGAACTCTGTGATTTACGTGGCCTCATGTTATATATGTCGGCTATGTGGCTAAGTCGATGCGAACGCTTTGTAATGCCGGGGTGCCGGGTTCGATCCCAGTTGCGGGCCATGCGCCTTGCGTTGGTTTCGACAGTGATATCAAGAAAGCCAACTGTCCAGAAAGCAATGGCAAACTACTGGACGTAAGTTTGCCTAGAAAAACCACACAACGGCCAGAGGCTGTTGGGGCTGGTTCTGCAACGTGCTATAAAGGATACGCAACTAACCATGTGATATATTTGTGTGTGTTTTCCTCAGTGCCCTAAACAGCTGTAGCACTGATTTGTTCCTGAAAATAGGAACTCTGCTGCCTGAAATGACAGCTCATGAAAAAACTGTCGATTACTTCATTGATCTTCTTCGAAAGGATCAGGCAAGTTGCTTTTCAAAGACGATTACTTCATGGTTTTATATTTGTTTACTTCAAGTTTTCAGTAAGGTCTCTTGATTTGTGAATGCTGGAAAATTCTGATCTGTTCCTGACTGTGTTACTGAAACAGAATACAGGTGCATCGTAAGTACGGTAAAGTAGAAATGGAATACATGTACATGGTAAGTACATACAGTAAAGTAGAAACAGAATACAGGTGTATGGTAAGTAAAGTAGAAACAGAATACAGGTGTATGGTAAGTAAAGTAGAAACAGAATACAGGTGTATGGTAAGTAAAGTAGAAACAGAATACAGGTGTATGGTAAGTAAAGTAGAAACAATACAGATGTATGGTAAGTAAAGTAGAAACAGAATACAGGTGTATGGTAAGTAAAGTAGAAACAATACAGATGTATGGTAAGTAAAGTAGAAACAATACAGATGTATGGTAAGTAAAGTAGAAACAATACAGATGTATGGTAAGTAAAGTAGAAACAAACAATATGGTAAGATGTATGGTAAGTAAAGTAGAAACAATACAGATGTATGGTAAGTAAAGTAGAAACAGAATACAGGTGTATGGTAAGTAAAGTAGAAACAATACAGATGTATGGTAAGTAAAGTAGAAACAATACAGATGTATGGTAAGTAAAGTAGAAACAGAATACAGATGTATGGTAAGTAAAGTAGAAACAGAATACAGGTGTATGGTAAGTAAAGTAGAAACAGAATACAGATGTATGGTAAGTAAAGTAGAAACAGAATACAGGTGTATGGTAAGTAAAGTAGAAACAATACAGATGTATGGTAAGTAAAGTAGAAACAGAATACAGATGTATGGTAAGTAAAGTAGAAACAGAATACAGGTGTATGGTAAGTAAAGTAGAAACAGAATACAGATGTATGGTAAGTAAAGTAGAAACAGAATACAGATGTATGGTAAGTAAAGTAGAAACAGAATACAGGTGTATGGTAAGTAAAGTAGAAACAATACAGATGTATGGTAAGTAAAGTAGAAACAGAATACAGATGTATGGTAAGTAAAGTAGAAACAGAATACAGGTGTATGGTAAGTAAAGTAGAAACAATACAGATGTATGGTAAGTAAAGTAGAAACAGAATACAGGTGTATGGTAAGTAAAGTAGAAACAGAATACAGGTGTATGGTAAGTAAAGTAGAAACAATACAGATGTATGGTAAGTAAAGTAGAAACAGAATACAGATGTATGGTAAGTAAAGTAGAAACAGAATACAGCTACATGGTTAGTACAGTAAAGTAGAAACAGAATACAAGTGTATGGTAAGTACAGTAAAGTAGAAACAGAATACAAGTGTATGGTAAGTACAGTAAAGAAGAAACAGAATACAAGTGTATGGTAAGTACAGTAAAGTAGAAACAGAATACAAGTGTATGGTAAGTACAGTAAAGTAGAAACAGAATACAAGTGTATGGTAAGTACAGTAAAGAAGAAACAGAATACAAGTGTATGGTAAGTACAGTAAAGTAGAAACAGAATACAAGTGTATGGTAAGTACAGTAAAGAAGAAACAGAATACAAGTGTATGGTAAGTACAGTAAAGTAGAAACAGAATACAAGTACATGGTTAGTACAGTAAAGTAGAAACAGAATACAAGTGTATGGTAAGTACAGTAAAGTAGAAACAGAATACAGATGTATGGTAAGTAAAGTAGAAACAGAATACAGATGTATGGTAAGTAAAGTAGAAACAGAATACAGCTACATGGTTAGTACAGTAAAGTAGAAACAGAATACAAGTGTATGGTAAGTACAGTAAAGTAGAAACAGAATACAAGTGTATGGTAAGTACAGTAAAGTAGAAACAGAATACAGCTACATGGTTAGTACAGTAAAGTAGAAACAGAATACAAGTGTATGGTAAGTACAGTAAAGAAGAAACAGAATACAAGTGTATGGTAAGTACAGTAAAGTAGAAACAGAATACAAGTGTATGGTAAGTACAGTAAAGAAGAAACAGAATACAAGTACATGGTTAGTACAGTAAAGTAGAAACAGAATACAAGTGTATGGTAAGTACAGTAAAGAAGAAACAGAATACAAGTACATGGTTAGTACAGTAAAGTAGAAACAGAATACAGGTGTATGGTAAGTACAGTAAAGTAGAAACAGAATACAGATACATGGTCAGTACAGTAAAGTAGAAACGGTGAATTCGATCCTCTCAACTTTAACTTTTATGTTATAGGTACATTGTTAAGCTTTTAATTTCAAAGCAATGTGCTGTTTTGTAAAGCTGTTTTTTTTTTTTTTTCTAAAGTGAGTCAAATAAATGAATCCTTCTAACTGAAACATAAAATTGACTTCAGTTAGAAGGATTCATGTATTTGCTTCCTTTTAATCAGTTGTTACTGTAGTATTTTACTCTTTGAGTCTCAAGAAATGCGTCATACATTCATAGATTCTTACCTAGAAGCCCAATGAACGCATGATGCGTTACTATCCCCTGGGCCTGTGATGCTAAACCCCTGGGACTCAAAGAGTTAAATATTCACCTGACGAGAGACAGTGGGATATGCCAGGCAGTAAATTGTGCAGTCTGTTGTTTGTGTCTTCTTTGTTGTTCAAATACACAACAGAGACACATAGATTTGATTTTAAGAGTTTGTTTGTTTTTGAAGATTTTGAGGTTGTTGGATTTTTTTTATATCCCAGTGCTGCTGGGTTGTCTGCTCTTGTCAGTCCACTGCCATATCTAGTAGCGTGAAGGTAAATACTGAAGTGCCATGTTAGAATAGATAGTTGAATGTTTTCCCATGCCTACTTGCTTTGTTGGCTAAGTTTTATTGTTGTTTTCTTTAGTTTTGCTTAGTGTGCACTGTTTGGAAATACAGGTTTTTTTTTTTTTTTCACTGTTTCGTTTGTTGTTGACATTTTGTGTGATTTAATGTGCTAATTTGTTTATTTCTTCTGTTCTGTAGTTGGATGAAACTGTGTCTGTTGACTTGTTGGAGAAATCCATCAGCTTTTTCCAGGTAAATGTTCATTTAATATATAGTTCATCTTTGAAAATGTCAGTGCAAGCACAAATAAATATAACATAAATGTAACCCCCTCGTGTGGGTTCCGGGGCCCCATTATGGGGAAAACAAGAATAGACTCACTGCCTCCCCAAAAGCATGTCGTAAGAGTCGACTAATTGGGGAGCTTCCTTTGAAGTCGGAGTGTATCTGCCGGAGAGGCAAGGAAGCAACAGTCTGTATTCAAGAGAATGAGATCTGTAAAACTGATGCACACGCAACACTCAGGTTCTGGAGCAGGACTGCAGTTCACTAGTGGATGAGCAACCAGAACTTTCCGCCAGAGTGTACAGCTGGTGAAGAAGAAGAAGAAGATAAATGTAACCCCTTTTTGGGTGGTTCATTTTTGTTTAGCTGAGACAGCAGCTGATATCACAGGAGGCAGGGCATTCCCATAAGCAATCCATCCTGATCTTCAGCAGCCAGTGAAGAGTTCCAGTGCTGATGGCACCTGCAGCATTTTGATTATATGTCCATCTTGCCAATCCTGTGAGTGTTGAATGTCAGCCAGATCCCCTGCTGTGCTCACTCTCTGCCACACCATTCACTTCATATGTTAATGATCTGTCCAAGCTTTCCCTTTGTTCAATATTTCCTAAAGGCCCTTAACTACATCTAGCTTGTCATGCATCAATTCACCACCCACTGGTGCAGCACCAGCAAATCTGTCCTACTGTTCATTTCCCAGTACACCTGTTTTATCCGGAGAAAGGATCCAGAGGAAAATATAGGGCGGCCTGTGCAGAACTTTGCAGCTGTCAGGGCCCACTGAAAAGCCTGTCCGTACCCTTGTGTACTATGGTAACAACAAGTTCAGGACCACTTAATATATAATTGATATTTCCTCACATAAAGAACATTGTGTCAGCTGATGTTTTCAGGGCACATGATGACTACATTGATTGCCTTTAAAAACAAAAACTAAGTAAAAGGCAGAAAAAAAAAGATAAAATAATTACTGTGTTATTGATAATGCACATTAGAATGAAACAGTGAAGCATAAGGTACAAAGTTAATCTTCAGTAATGCAGGTATTGTTTTGGTAATGTACGGAGTTATCAATATTTTTCAGCAATTGTACACAGTACACCTATCTCATGAGCGTGTGGACTGTACACACTTGATGTCGTACACTGTCCGGGTCGTGCTTACTGCTTGTGATGCTATTTCCACAGAAATTACTAGACTAAAGATTTTACTTCTGGTAAGTCCTCAACATCATTTGCACATACTTTCATCATCTTTAGCTTTAAACATTTACTTTGTATCTATTCCACCATGAGGGTTTTACCGCTGCTCCATAGTTTGTCTTGCAGGGTGGCTCCTGAGGGACACATTTCTTCTCTCTGGCTGGGGATGTCTAGGCGATCATGTAAAACATATTCTGTTGCAGAATGACATACCCATCATGTCAAATATTGTCATCATTGTTAGAGTAAAGCTACTACTAGAGAATGTCTACATTTCTGTGTAAAATTGTTGCATTGGGGTGGGGGGTTCATAAGACATAACTGTAATAAAAAATAAAAAACTTTAACATTCATCATAATCAACACTATCATCAGTGGTTTCATCCCTTGGACTTTCACAAATCTGCCTCTGTTTCTCTTCATGTGTCTGTGCTGACAGTTTTATAAAGGCTTTTTTTTTTCAGACTGTCTTTTTTCGTTTTCTTGTGCCCTTCACTATCCCCTTTATGCATTTCTTCCTGTATTTATCTTCCAACACATCTGGGTCTTTACTTTTTGATCACTTTAGAAAGCCTTTGTTCTGATATTGTTTGAGTCAGAATTTGATTTGTAATTTGTTTCCAGTATAATTGGTTCTTGTAATTTTTAATAACACACTCGTGTCTCTGTATGTTTGTTCATCTTTATTCACTGTCAGTTATTCAGAACCATTAATATGATGGCCAGATGTATGTGCACATATTATTTTTCCTAAATCGAGTTGTAAAGGATTTAATACTAAATATCAAAATTTTATATTGTTAATTTAGGTCAAATTTGGACAACTGCTACTATCAACATTTATAAGAGACAGAAAAAATTGGTCAGTGTCTGAAATGAAGCGGATACAGAATCAACTAAAATGGGACACAAATGGATTAAGGAAATAAGGATTCCAAGAGAAATCATAAGATGAACATAGATAAGAGAAACCAGAGTGAAGGAGCAATCTTCAATGGGAAGGTCAGGCGTGGTGAGCATACTTTGGATCTTTTCTCCAGGCCATGCCAGCATAGTGGGTAATGAATAGGCAGACATGTTGACCGGATATGCACATGACAAGGCAGACGTGGTCTAAGCCTTTTAAGAACAAGCAACAGAATCAGTAGAGAAAGAAAAGATTTATGGCCTGGAGAGAATGAGGCACCTGGGTGTAACCAGAGGGTCTGGCCGGCTCACTATACTCAGAGGAAGGACAATACGGACATATAACCAGATTTTGACCAGTACCATCAGTGTTGGAACTCTGTGCTGGCTGCTGAGGATGGAGACACAGCGCCCATGAGAATGCCCTGAGTGCTGTCATGTCGATTCTTGACTCAACTCAACCAGAGTGAAGGACTGGAATCCATACACAATTCATATCAGAAGGCCTTTTCAGGATAGGATTAACTGGAAAAACAAACTTGAAGCCCTGGGCGACATGTGAATGGCACAGAAGGGTAATAGTGATGATAAATTTAATTAATTTAGTACTTAGTATGCAGAATGTGGTAGGTTCTAGGTGCATAATATACTATTGTTTCCTCATAATTCTGTACTTGTGTTCAGTGAAAATATTTTCTGCTCGTGTTGATACTGATTATGTTAATTTACTCCAGCCAGGACAGGAACAGAGTAATTTCTCCATCTTGTTGAAAGACCTAGAGACCTGTAACAATGACACGAGGACATGCACCAGGAAGGTAAGCGTTGGTTTGTTGCTCATGTAGCACACTAGTTGGTTTTTAAGCATGTGAATTGTTTGCTTGGTTTTCATATATTGCTGCCTAATAACTTGATGGAGCTATCATCTGGGTTTATTATGTTTACTTTCTTTCCCTAGATTAAAAGACGACTGCCTCAGGAGGGCTCTGCAGCTGCTACTCCGCTGAAGTTTGGAAAAGAGGTAAAATATATCAGAAAAATTGTTAAACCTTTTTGTCTGTGACCTAAAAAAATAAAAAGCTAGTTACCCATATTTAAGGAATTCCTAGAAAAAATCTTTAAAAAAAAAAAAATTACCATTTGACATAAGTTGCATCCACCCACCCCCCGCCCACCAAGTTATAACAGTCCCTTGTAAAGACCAACAAATTAACAATAAATTCCATACAAAATAAGAGGAATGATTAGTAAACACAAATGCAGCAGAAAATTAACACGGTTAGTGACTAATGAGACAATCTGATGTCCTAATTTCTATTTTTCTTTTAAAAGAATATTTTTTCTTTAAGATAACCCAACCTGAATGCTGTTTTTAGCAGATATAAGCATTCTTAGTCATCCTAAACGTGTGCAGAGGCACAAATATACCAATGCTGTTGGCCGTGCTTCTGATGAATAAGCCACAATGGCAGTATTAGTGAAGTGACATTTATATAGGTTTAAACCCAACCAGAAGTATCAGGTTCATGGCTCCTTGTGGCAAAGGGTTATGTTTCTAAGATTCTTTGTTGTTATTATTATGATTACAAGTTTAAAAAAAAATTTTTTTTTAATTTTGAACAAATATTACAATTTCCCTACCTAATACCATTTATTACTGATGATATTTATCAAGGGTTGTATCAGACCTTGAACCCTGGAAAGACCGGGCCACAATAATGAAGAGATTAAAGGTTTGAAAAACTCCAGAAAAATGTGTTTATTTGGGCTAATAACTTGAAATTTACCCAGCATGACCAGGGAAACAAAAATTTAGAAAAAAAAAAACATGTTTCATTAAATGAGTCTGATCATTTCTGATAGGTTAGGGATGTTCCATTTTTTGGCCATCCATTTTTCTTCACATGCTGCCAGGGGTTTGGGTGTGTGTGTGTGTGCAGTGAGAAGTTGTTAGTACCAGTATTTTTGTTTTGTTTTTAGGCAACAGTCAGTCCTTGCATATCTTCTACCACTAGCAGGCAACATTGGAAGCTTCTCTTCATTGGCCTGGGACAATAATGATATTTTCTGTCACTCCACAGTCTTTTCAAGCACAAATGTGATGAAATTTTTCCCTTTGCATTCACACGTAAAAGGTTAGGATTACTTAACCCACTTGAGAAATTGCTGCATGGTTAATTATTTTCAAAAAAGTCCTAATCCTAACCCTAACCCAGCTAGTATTAGAGTCCTAAAGTAAGAACTGTAGACGTAGATAAAGCAGAGTTATGACATTCTCCAGCAAAGGAAGAACCACCAATATCAAAATTGATGAACGCCGGTTAAAACATTAAAACAGGCGAATGAATTTACATATCTGGGGAGCATTTTTTCGGAAGACGGACGAATTAATATAGAAATCCAGCAAAGATGCAATAAAGCCAATCAAGTTTTACGCCAAATGGCACCAATTTTGAAATGCAAGCATGTAAATAAGAACACTAAAAGAACATTGTTCATTCTTACCAACGCTATGTTATCAGTGTCAAACATGGACAGAAAGAAAAGGTCACAATAGAAATGAAATGTTTATGTACTATACTAGATGTAACAAGGAAAGGTCGACTTAGGAACAATGATATCAGGAGGAGAGTCGGCACAGAACCAATACTGAATTTTCTAGCTAGACAGCAGGACAAATAATTTGGCCATATAGCAAGACTGGCATCAGACAGGGCAACACAGAGAGCAATTTTATGCAGTTACAGCGGTAACAGAGCCAGAGGTCAACCATGCAAAATATGGACCACACAAATATTAGAAACACTCAGAAGTACTACATACGGAACAAACAGAAGGGCGTGTTCCAGAGATCTCTTCTTACTCTAACGCCGTGAGGCATTCCAGGAGTAGAGGAAAGAAGAAGAAGATTAAGTACTGTCAAAAAAAGTCTAAATGTGTTTTACTTCACATATACTAGATTACAAATCTCAGACTATTCCTGTTCTAGTCCAGAACAAGAGATGTGCTTGTTTTATACTTGGATACTTTAGAGTCTAACCTAGTCACATTGGAGTCATCCCATATACAAGGTCCGACATTTAAGTAATGAGACTGATTTTATTATGGCCAAGACAAAAATGCCATATCTAAAGCAAAGCATGGAATCTAAAGAGACAACATTTATCTGGGATCTGGCAACTTTTCATCACCGCTCGATAAGCAGACAACAAACAAGCAGCCATTTTGTTGACCTAGTCAGAGATGCATTGTTACATAATCAGCACAGAGCAAAAAGTTATCATTAAATTATTTTTAAAACTCAGAAAAAGTGTTATTGAAACAGATCAATTGATTCAACAAGTTTATGGGGATTATTGTTTAGCTCGTGCACAAATTTTCAGGTGGTATTCACGATTCAAAAGTGGTGTAGAAATGATTACTCATGCACTTAGACCTGGACGCCAAATTTCTGTTTGTAATGTTGAACTCATTGCAAAAGTCAGAGAATGGATACAAGATCATTGTTTTACTGTTAAGATGATGGCAGATGAATCTGGTATTAATAGAGAGACCATTCATAAAATTATTGTGCAAAACTTTGGCAAGAAAAAAGTTGCTTGCCGGTTTGTACTACATTTGTTGTTTGATGCCCAAAAACATCAGCGGGTTGAGTAGCCAAGAGACATTATCAAAACAAGAATTTTTGGCCCAAAAACAAGTGTGTTTTCAGCCTTCCACCCTATTTCCCAGATTTCTCTCCCTGTAATTATTATCTATTTCCAGAATTAAAGTTTTGATTGAAAGGACGCTTTTTTAACGATTTTGACGAATTAAAAGGGCCGTAACATCGACTTTAAGGGTCATAACAACAGAAGAACAACAGAGTTTGTTCCAGTGTTTGTTAGATCGTGCCACTTGCTGTATCAATGCACAAGGGGCTTACTTTGAAAAAATACAGGTTATATCTTCAACTGTTGATTATTTTAATTTTTATGGAATTAGTCTCATTACTTAATTGTCGGACCTTGTACATTACAGTCATCCAAGGCTCATTGTAGATATTCTAGGAACATAAGAACTTATATATATATATATACATATCATGATCTGCATTTTTTGTCTCCAGTAACCACAGAAACTAGAAACACAAGCTTGTTCATATAAAGACCTTTTATTCATGCAGATTCAGGACCTGCTAACCGATGCTTGTAAACAGGTTGGACTGGTGGCCCGTGTTTTGAAGATTGTAGCAGCCGGAGCTGTGCAGCAGGCTGCCATTATGACAGGTAAAATTGATGTTGCTTGTGCTGTCTTTCTTGACTTACTTTGCAGTTTTTATAACACAAAAAAAAAACAAAAAAAAAGAAAACAAAGTGTGTATCAGTCTTACAGAACCAGTTATAATAAACAATTAAAAGACATTGTGGCGATTTGCTTTCGTCATCAGAATGATGATGAGACACTAAATACAACACAAAAAAGATGAAATAACTACATTATGGTATTCACATATTGTGGTCACAAATATAACAAAATAATAATAAGCAACATAATGTGATACTTACCCTGGATTGCTGCATATTTTATAAAGGAGAGTAACAAAACAGGCATCGCTTCTTATAGACAAACCAGGAGGTGGTTTGTCAAATCTGTCAGTGGGATCTTTTGTCCTTTTGTTTGTTGTAATTGGGTCTGTAAAGCTTACATACACTTGAGTTTTTTTGTGTTTTTTTTAAATATCTATTTTTCAAACAAATTCACTGCAGTCACTTTATTTTGATGCATCTTTATATGTAATCTGGGCAGTCTGGCTTGGTGGTTTATTTAACTTTACTAGATCTTTCTATAGGAGCCGCTGATTGGTCTATAAAATATGGGTCCTGCCCTATGTGCTCAATACACCTGCAGGCCTGTGAAGGAGTCCTTGACTCTGATCTTTCTGCGTCGCTGAAAAACTATTATTTAATGAGGATTGCAGAATTGTATGACATTCAGATCCTTGGTATGGGCGAAGATAATCCTGAAGCAGATACTGTGTTGAGTGAGACATTGTCTTTACATATTCTGCTTTATACAAGGGTGAAATGTCCAGTTTCCTTCCACACCACTTTTCTTTCACAATTTCCAGAGCAGACTCAAATCTGCAGTTAAATCTGTTTTAAAAAAGACTCTTTTTTCTTCTTTCGCTTACCAGCTGAAAACTCTTGCAGACAGTTCTGGTTGTTCCTCCACTTCTTATTTTCTGTGTGAATTAATTAAACCTTTGACAGAAAAGTTTGAGATTATAATTTTAGTTAGCCCTTCACATTACAGTTACAGACAGGTTGGTTTCATCTTTGTTAGCCAATGAAATATTTGACACTAAATTTAAGCTATAAAATCCATTGACGATTCATTTATGGAATAAATTGTTACTTTTCTTTGTTTACTTATGAATACTCTGACAGTAAAATGTTAAATTGTTGCCTTTTTTTTTTTTTCACTGATAAAACCCTTCACAGTAAAGTTATAGACTGTTGATCTTTAAAAACTGGAAACCTCTGACAGTAAAATTATTCATAGACTGTCACTCCTCTTTGTTTTAACTAATGAAACTTTTACAGTAAATTTATTGAAAGATAGTTTCTCTTCTTTGTTAACTAAACAAAAGCCTCTGACAGTTAAATTATAGATAATTTACTTTTTGTGCAAACCTAATAAAACTGTTGACTGTCCCATTATAAAGCATCAGTGTTGAAATATCAGATTCCTTGCTATCATGAAAGGAACACCCGACAAGGATTTAGGAGTTATTTTTCCTATGTCTAATCGGTGTACTTTGTTTTTGTTGTCAAGGTGGGAAGCTTCATGAGTTGGAGAAAATAGGTAAAACTTTGTGTTTAAACAAGCCTGCATATATGGACAGATTCTTAGTCTTGGATGAATAATGTTTATCTAACAAGCTGATCATATATTCCAGTTGAAGCATGTGTGCAGAATGCAGAGACTAGAAAACTATTGCATTTTTGTGAATGTTTTTCCTAGAAGGCTTCTACTGTTTTCTTTTTCTAGTTTGTGGAACTAAGTTCATAATCATGGCAACCATGTTTTTATCAGTAGTTTATTAATATGTAATTTAGAATAACACTTGCCTGAATGGCTGTTGCCTAATAAGCATGATGCTGCTATATATTTCAGTAAATGTCTTGATTGGCACATATGTACTTTTGCCTTTAATATTGAAAAAAATCTGGAATGTCCTTTGTTAGAATTTTATTTATGAGAGGAAACATGCATTGCAGAAGTATCTGAATTTTTTTTTATTTTTTATTTTTGTTCGCTTCATATTTTATAATTTGAAAAAAAATGTTTTTGTTTTGAAATGATTTTAATTGAATGTTAAATGTATGTCTTTGCTGCAAGATGAGACTGTTTTGTTCACATTTTCAGAGTCTGGTAAAGCAGCAGGTAGTTCTTCTTTATGCTGCAGTTTGAAATAATCATTTTATTTATTTTATATACTTGTTTTATATAACTTTCTTTGCGAGTTCATTTTGTTCATTTATCCAGTAGTTGACATTCTAAAATTTTTTCCTAGTTCACCTAGACTCTGGTTTTTTGTTTTTGTTTATCTATATCTATGTATAGTTTATGTATCTGTATTATGTATGTTTGTATGTATATATATGCTTTCAGAATTACAATAAGCTTTCTTCAATACTCATCTATATGCATATACATGGATTTTAAATCAGTGACAGTAAACTTTGGTTTATTATTTTTCATTGTTTAGTAATAATACCTGTATACAATATAAACTTTTTTATTTAATCATTTTTTAACTCTTCATTCCTTGGACGTGCTATTTTAGCTCATTCTGTCCCATGTTCTTCAAGCTAATGTTTGAATCCAAAGAACTTTAAATTGTAAAATTATGGGATAGAATTGGTTAAGGTAACGTCTGGGGTAAAGTGGAGTAATGTAATAAACAGATGGACTTCAGGGAGTTTAGAAAACACATCCTCCTGGGAGTAATCAATAAACTCAATTTTGTACTAAATAAGTTAAGCTCAAAATTTGCCACAAAACTGTATGGCATTAACAAGACTAAATAGCAGTAAAAAGATGATTTAACCCAGAATTTACTAAAAATATACCAATTTTTTTTTTCAAGTTGTGATGTAGTTTTATTTTAAAGTTTAATTCTCCATCAGTCTCTTTGGTGTAAAAGGTTAAAGTAGAGCTTGACTTCATTGCATAGTTTTTCCGTAAAAATTGCACTGATGTAATTAATGGTGCAGCCATGAAATGAACCCACGACCTTCAGAGCCCAAGGCTTGACCACTTGCTACAGAGAGCTGTGATAACACTGTGACTAGATGCTTGCCTTTCGAACCGACGTTCGAAACTAAATTGAGGCTCCCAGGCTGACTCACTGTAAAGAAATTGATACAGGCCTTGCACTGGGATGTAGAAATGGTTGTCATGATATTGACTTCATCCATTTCTTTTGCTAGTTAAAAAGTAAAAAAAAAAGTAAAGGTCCCTTTTTACACGCCTTTTGGTGTACAGGGCATATAGGGCATATGGCCATTGAGTTAACCGTATGTGTCGATTCCTCCCCACCAAATATATCGCTGACACATTCCATTTCTGGGGACAGCTTTCATCGAGTTGGCTCTCTAGACAGTTGCAGTCCCCTGCTGATGAGATTCTGTCTTACCGAGTGGAACGCCGCGATCAAAACATTGCGAAGGCAGCGTGGTCGAGGCTGCCAAAACTATCGGCCATTATCCCGCCCCTACATAGCACAGCCACAATACACGCTGTTCCCACGAAAAACACATAGTATCCTGCGTTAGAAATGCGCACAAAATAGCAGTCCATGATTATAATTAAAAAAAATTCGAGAGAATTGACCGCCAGCGAAAATAAACACAGCGGTTATCTGCCATTTTGAGAACAGATGTCGTATAGGGCATATAGGGCTAGACCTATATTTTTATAGACCAATCAGCACAAGATGGGTGATGTGGTCAGCATTACACCAGCCACCTTTACTTCCCGAGAATGCACCTGATACCCACTCAAGGCTGGGTCGACCTGGGAGTCAAGGTCATTTTTGAAAAAAGTCTGGCTCCGCCAGGGAGCGAACCTATGACCTTCCGATCCACACGCGAGCGTCTAGCCGCTACGCCACGGTGACACCCCTTTTGCTAGTTGGTCTATAAAATATAGGCCTCGCATCATGAACCTGAAGCGCCAGTGAATGTAAATCACGTGTTGATTATCTATATGCAAATTGCCCACTTTTCTTATTTACTGTCTTAAATTTTGTCATAAACTATTTTCTTAGCACAACTTTTTTTTTCTACACATTTCATCTAGTGGATATCTTCCTCCCCAGAAAATATACTTTTGTTTTTCTCTAGTTTGTGAATATTTTTTTTTTTCCTGTAGAACTTTGACTTTCTGTATTTATTTTCTTTTCCTGTAATTTTTCTTGTTTTGCCTGTAACCTAGTGTAGCATGCTATTTAGTTTGTTTGAACTAGCAGCATTGGTTGATTAGAGAGTAGTTTTGCATATTATAGCCTAGCTGCTATTGGTACGAAATCTTTCTTAGCCATTCATTGTGTTTTACTAACATTTATTTTCAATATGTACTTCCGTGGTAGCTTTCTGATAGGTAAGTTTGTTAGTTGCCCTCTGTTCAGTCCCTGGTTAATAGCAGGATTGCATTTTAATTGCCTGTATATTGTCCATGCAACTATGGAATTGACTTAAATTCGAGAAATTGGCACAGAAGAATTTTTTTGTTATCTATTGGGCAGGAAAGACAGCTAGAAAAGCAGCTAATCACCTCATGTTATTGTATGATAACCTTGTCTGTGTGAAATCCTAAACTATCACACCCTTACATCACTATCTGCTTTGTTCTGTCATTACAAATACTTTGGACAAAAGTAACAGTTCGTTAGTTAGTATCCTGTCTGTGATAGATTATGGACTCTGAAACATTTTAAATAGGGAGCTGAGTAGTCTCGAGGTATGGTGTCTACCTCAAGTACTGGAGGTCCTGGGTTCAAGCCCCGGTGAAGGCTGGAATTTTTCCGGTGGACTTCTAGTAATTTCCCCTGGCCTCTTGGTAGTGAGATCAGATGCCCATGTGTATTCTTGCGCACATAAAAAATCCGTTGGCAGTTGGAAATTTAAAAAAGTAGCATAACAGCGCTACCCGGGCAAAATTTGGAGTTAATAATCTACCCAAAGTATTTTAGGATCCTCGCCGGTGTTAGGGAGTTCATGCACTGCGCTGAGATTCTCCAGACTCAGGCTTGAGTTAGAAATAGAATGGAGCATTTATGAATTACACGCGTGTGCCATGATGTTGATCTGTTGATTAAACAAACAAAACCATATCAGAGAGTCAGCTGATGAAACTTGAACGCATACAGAATGAAGACATAACAGTAAGTTAGTAATATACAAAAGATACCCTGGTAGTGTGTATGTGATATTTTGCACTGCAGACTGTTGTAGATAAGCTCAAAATGCTGCAGTCAGAATTGAATCTCGTAGTAGCGGATGACAAGAAGCACTTCCTGCATGAAGCCCTAGGTAGAGCTAACGGTCACAGCATGAAAAGAGGAAGGCTTTGGATGACAGAAGCTGAAGACACAAATAGACATGTGTGCAGGCTTTATGATATTGTGCAAGGAGAGGAGCGGGTCAAAGTGTCTGAGCAACAATCTTTATTGTGTAGGGTTCTAATCACATTTGGCTGTGAGTGCAGGGGACTGACCAGCAGCTGCTGCAGAGCCTGAAGTTCAGCAAAAGATTAACTCCAATTCCCGCCCAAGTGATGTGATTATTTGTACAGATGGATCTATGTTGAGTAGCAGAAGAAGTGCATCAGGGTTCATAGCAGAAGCGAATAAACATTGCTTAGTGCATCAAAGCTTGGCATATAAATACCTCAACACCTAGTTTGAGAATGGAAGCGGAGGCAGTCACTGTAGCCGTCCACTGGCTTCAGAACCAGATGTACACACATGTTGTAGTTGTAACCGACTCACAGAGCATGTTGAGAAAGGTGAAGACAAGTAAGCTGTTCACAGAGGGGCAAGCATCACTTTAGAGGTCTCAAGTAAACTTCCTATATATTTACAGGATAGATATATTCCTAAATTTTCTCTAGGATGTGCAGCGCCTGTGGCTTGGGCGTTGTGAAAGTGCTTCTCATGGTGATCCCAGCTGCAGATGTTTTGCCAGCAGACCACTTTGCATTGGTTTCTACAGTTGGTACTGAGAGTTAACCGTTCAGAAAACAATGGCAAACTGCTGAATGTAAATTGCCTAGAAAACTGCAACAGCCACAAAATGCTGGAGTTGGTTCTGTAAAGGGGACACAGCTAACTTTTCAACATGCTAGTGGGTTGAGAAATGAACAAGCAGAAAGATAGCTGGTTCTACACCACTTGATAGTGAAGAAGGCATGACAAGCTAGATGTTGTAAGGGGACAAATAGATCAGCACTCTCTGTGGAGATTGGTACTGTGAGGAGTGTCCAGATGATCTGGTAGCTGATGACAAGAAGCACTTCCTGCATGAAGCCCTAGGAGAAATGATGTTCTGGAGGAACAGCACTGTTACTGGTACCATCAGAATTTGAACTGTACACTTGCTGCCTAAGATAGGGGCAGAGTGCTTGTCGGACTGTATCATGTCATTCCTTTACTTTACAGAGATCCCTAGAGCTAGCGCTACAGCTGCCCAGTTTGTTCTCTAAGTGATGCATTTGGCAGGCCACATCCACTATGATGTGAGAGACCAAGTCATAAGAGATATAGCCCAATGCAATGAATTGATCCAGTCATTTAAAAAAAAAAAATTAACTTTTCAATACAATGATCAGTATTACAAGAATTTGTCAGCACTTTAGGCATGCCCTTATATGCTTCATTTCCATCAGAAGATAACAAATAGAATGGAGGCTTATCCGATGGTTATTTAGTTATGATAACCTCTTCTTCATTCTCTGCCACTGTCTTTTGTCCCACTGCCAAATTGGTTTAGTGATCCCATCACTCCAAGTTGCACGTAGTCAATATTTTTAGGTTTTCTTATGAAACAAGCAACCATTTTGGACATTATCATGACTCCCTTACTCAACCTCACTGTTCTGCCCAGCTCTCTAGTGTAGTTGGCTAAACCGGATTGCACGGTGACCGGGTGACAAAGTCCTTGTGGTCCGGGTTCACTCCTGGGGGTAGGCAGAAAAGCCACATTTTTTCCCAGATTTACGGTATTTACGATGGAATCAAGGCCGAAAGGTTACGATATCCATAATACCGAGCCTAAGGGTTAACAACTCATGGTTTTTTTATACTAAAACAAACAAACAAACCTCACTCTTCTGAGGGGGGGGGAAAACACATTTTTTTGTTTCTTTCTGTTGCATTTCATCTCCCATTGAAACATAGGTCCTTAAACAACCTAACCGCAAGATTTTTGTAAACCTGGCAAAAGACTAGACTGAGGGGTCTCCATGGTGAAGTAGTCAAAAACCATTTGCTGTATGCTTTGAATGGTCATATCTTCATCTTGCAGGCGCATCATTCAGTTCAAGAATATGTTTGTTTAAACACGAAGAACCCTGTAGCTGGGGTTGTACATTTTGTGCTTTGTGCAGTGCTCTCAGGAAACTGCTGGCTTTTGTGTGGAGAGAGACCATATTGGATAACCTGGGGTGGTGAAGTTAATCCTCTTGACTGTAACTTTAAACTTGAACATTTAACCTCTGTAGACTTGCTCTTGATTTGCTGGATTTTACAGTTCAAGTTTTTTTTATGCAGTTAGTCAGAAGTTAAAATCCAAAGGATCTACTTCATTTATTGATCTTTAACCCATATGGCTGGATCTCTCTTGCAGAGAGAATCACAGATCATGAATACCGTAGCTGTAGCGACAATCCACATAGTTCTCCATAATAGCACTCCGGCCGCAAACAGTGGAGCTTCAGAGTGCAAGGCAGATGGCCTGACTACTTCAGTATTTGACAATCCTCCTGTCAGTCTCTTATCAGTTTCAATACTTGGCTCTGCTCTATGTTGGAGAAAAGAAAGCTAAAGAATCTGTCAATCAATCATGAATAATGTAATAGTTATAACAGTATTATGCAAATGAATTCAAGTTTTTAAATTTTGAATAAATCTGCATTTCCTGTTTTCCGTCTGAAATAAATCAATTGCTTGCTGTTAGACAATGTATGGTGGTGATGTGACGAGCTGTGACCATTTCTGGATTATACCAGTAAAATTAAATAATGTTTTGCCTCATAAACTGCTTTTGTAACCATGGAATTACTAATAATCCATTCATTGGTCATGTATTGTAATGGAATTATGTATACTGTACTCTGCGGTGGACTGACAGTTTTTATTAACTTCATATTAGAAGAGGTGTATTTTGGATTTTATGACAGGGTTTAACTATTTGAGAACGATAATTTTACTTTTCTCATTTTTTTCTTTCTGTCTCTCTCTTTCTCTCTGTTTCATCATCACACACAGATATGTATATTATTTTGTGCTCAAAATATTATTTTACCTCATGCACTTTTCATTATTATTATTTTTTTTTAATAGTGCTCAGTAGTCTTAAACAGCATTAAATGTCTATGATTAAGCACCAGCAAGGAGATCAAAATTAGAATTTTGAGAGCATGCATCTTCCCTGAGGCTACACGCGGATGTGAGTCGTGGACTATCTCTCAGTCCTTAAGAAAGAGAATATGGGCTTTTGAGCTGAAATGCTATAGAAAGATTCTCAGAATATCTTGGACAAAGAAGAGGAGAAATACTGACATTTTGAAAGATTTGACCATCAAGGAAGATTGGCTAATAAACAGCATCCTGTCTCAGAAGCTGAAATATTTTGGTCATATCAAGCGCCACGATGGTTTGGAAAAAAATAATATCAGAAGGCACGGTACCAGGAAGGAGGGGCAACTGCCGACCGACACAAAGATGGGCACAGGATATAAGTGACTCCTTGAGTATGAAAGTACATGAGGCGGAAGAGCTGGCGAGAGACTGAGTTTCTTTCAGGCAGACCGTGATGAGAGCGACGTTCTGCAAATGACTTGCTACATGATAATGATGTTCAGTAGTCATTTTTTGTATATGCTTTTCTAATACATATACCTTGTGTAGCCAGATTTTTTTACGTAGTAGGTCAGACCCTTTAATATCGGGATAGCTGGGAATGTTGTAATAATCTGCCATCACCTTTTTTGTGTGTGTGTGGAACAAATCTGTGTCAGCTCTTTCCGTCCCATGAGGTATCAGAAGTTGCCCAAAGGGGAACATAAAATAACAAAAGTATTTTTTTCACAGGAATCAGAAATATTTCCTGACATACAAATCATTTGGCAAATCTTTAAAATATCCTCTGACTAAATAAATGTAAGAAGTACAATTACATATTACACATTGATTGGTACACATGAAGGATTGCCAATTTCAGATAGATGGCTGCTTGGGGTGGAAAGAGTTAAATATGACTCTGGCAGTTTATCCAAGGATTTCCAACGTTATCCATGTATTTCAAATATATGGTGTGGTACTAACTTACATGCGGCGTCCGTGGCTAAGGCGTTGCGAATCCGACTCGTAATCCAACGTACCGCGATCGAAACCCACTGCGGGCTGCGTGGATTTTTATCGTGGTATGGGACGTCGCAGGTCGACCCAGCCTCAAATGGGTACCAGGATGGGCTGTCCTGGGAAAGTAAAGACAGCCGGCGTAATGCTGACCACATTACCCACCGAGTGCTGATGGTCTGTAAAAATATGGGCGCTCTTCCCATATGCCCGATACGCCTAAAGGCGTGAAAGGGATCTTTACTTTACTTTACTTTACTAACTTACATAAAGCTTGTGTATTCTGCTTTATATATATTTAACTGTGCAGCATAATTTGGCTACTTTTTCCCAAGATAACGGCCAGGAGAAGCATAGAAAGGAGGGAGTATGTGCTAACAAGCCAAATATATTCCTAATGCATCCCTTGTTTTGTGAAAGAAGATTTAGGTTTATTATGTTATTGTATGGTATGCACTGTTTCATGCTAAAAAGATAACTGTTACAGTATTATACAAGGGGCCTTGAAATTAAAACCTACAAAGTGTATTGTCTTGTAACAAGTGCTTGACATTCTTGACAGGTCTCATGGTTGTCATAATTTCTGTCACATTATACAAGTTTTTATTTGAAGCCCCCTTGTACTTTGAAGACAATTATAAATAATGACATGACTTCCATAAATGTGTAAAGAAAAAACAAACCTGTCTAATATTATTACATAATGCTCATAAATTGATAATTGCTAAAAATAATGTCATGAATTGCATGGTAAAGGAACCATTTAATGCCTTTGGCAGATCAGGGCTCTAGTGCTATATTTTTTATAAATCAACTGGCATTTAGTGGGTACCAATTTTAGGCTGGGTCAACCTGACAGGGTCAGTTTTGAAACAATCCGCCGCGGTTCAGATTTGAATCCTAGATATTTGGGGTCGACAAATGAGCATCTAGTCACTACACTACAGTGGCTCCAAACTCTTACAGTATTTTGCTTTAAAGTAAATTGTAACTAATAACAGGACTCAGGATTTTGTCCAGAATAGGGAGGGGGGGGGGGGGGGGGGGGGGGTTTTTGCCTGATGAAAGGAATTACATAATGTTTGTAATCTGACACTCATTGAATTATGGTGTCATGAATTACACCGTAATAGATTTGAATTGTCATAATAAAAACAAACATGGGTTTGTTCCATTTTCACAAAGGGCACTCAGTAGGTGACGTGATCACTATATCCTGGTACCTGAGAGTTCTGTCATCGGTAAGAGATGGAGATTTCTTTTATGTTACTGGTGAAAATAGAAATCCTAACCTGCATAGTTTTGTGTGACTGCACCAGACATTCAGGCTCACGGCCCCTCTGTCTCACAGTGGTAAATACAGATACTATTGAGCACTTTTTGAGTAATGTTGAATCAGTCCCCCATCTTCAGCAGCAAGCGAAGAGTTCCAATTCCGATGGTACCAGTAACCGTCTGATTGTATTTCTGTCTCATCCTTCCCCTGAGTGTTGAGCGTCGGCCAAATCCCCTGGTAACTCCTCGCAGCGCCATTCTCGTTAGACAGTAATGATCTATCTGCGACTCCACACTGTCAACCCGTTCCCTAAGGGCCCTCACAATATCTGACTTGTCATACATCAATTCACCACCTAGTGGTGCAGTCTTTGAGTTATGTGCACTGTATCACCACATCCACCTCTAACTTCTGCAACATTTTCTGAGACCTACTTCAGTCTGGGTTGACTTGGGCAGTTTTTGTTTTAAAATAGGGATGCAAACCACATGACATCAGGCTACAAGCAACTGTGCTAGCCACTAGGCCACTATAAATCCCAGTTTGGATTAAAAGATACAACCTTTTTTTTTTTTTACACTGAGGTATATTGTTGTACTCAAAAGGTTAAGGGTTTTTATGCAGACAGTTATTATTGAAGAGAACATTAATTCACACTGAAACTCTACTGTTTTCAGTTTTACAGTAGTAAATGCTGTTATAGAGCAAATACTGAAAGATAATGTCATCTTTGCTACAGATCGTGAAGGGCTGCTACCAAAAATGATGGAGGAGTTAGCTCAGCAAGCGGTTAATGAGGTGTATAGTAAGGAAAACACAGGAGCCTATGAGAACTTGAGGTATAATGTGTTTTTTTTTTCCCCTTTCACAAGTTTAATGATTGGCACTGTTTGAAATATGTTTTCTTTATTTTTATTTATCACTTCCTAGTAATATTTGAGGAACTGATTAAGTTTTTTATTTTTGTTTTTAAAATAAGTATAGTAGGGTTTTTTTCTTTTTTTAGCTGTTAACTTAATTTCTTCTTTTTTTTTTCGGATCTAGGATATATATGTTTTGTTTTAATTGATCTATGTGTTGTTGAGGAAAGCCAAAGGTGTTGAACTAGATTTTGTCCATGATATTGAAAGTATTTCACTAGATAGAAAAAAATGGAGGGCTAGACTGCAAGTCCTGTGTGGATGTATAGGATGGTGATCCATGTATTCTGTGTGGATGTATAGGATGGTGATCCATGTATTCTGTGTGGATGTATAGGATGGTGATCCATGTATTCTGTGTGGATGTATAGGATGGTGATCCATGTATTCTGTACAAACAGAAGTTGTTGTTACTCTCTTGAGCACCATACTTGTAGTTGTCTAAGAATGTATACTGAAGAAATACAGTAAGAGAAAAAGGAAAAAAAGCAATACCAGGAGGATACTTCTTTGTCACTCCTCCCTACCCAACCCCCCTTCCCCCCCCCCCCCTCCCCCCCCCCCCCCCCCCCCCCCCCCCCCACCCCCACCACCCCCACCCCCACCCCCCCCCCCCCCTCACCCCCCCCCCCCCCCCCCCCCCCACCCACCCCCCCCCCCCCCCCCCCCCCCCCCAACCCCCACCCCCCTACTTGTATTGTGAAACATTTCTGCATCAAACTAGGAGAGGTTTCTGGTCAAAGCTGTTGTGTGTGTGATCAAAGTTGTTGTGTGGGTGGTCAAAACTGTTCTGTGTGTGGTCAAAACTGTTCTGTGGGTGGTCAAAACTGTTCTGTGGGTGGTCAAAACTGTTCTGTGGGTGGTCAAAGTTGTTGTGTGGGTGGTCAAAACTGTTCTGTGGGTGGTCAAAGTTGTTGTGTGGGTGGTCAAAACTGTTCTGTGGGTGAACAGAGCTGTTGTGTAGGTGGTCAAAGCTGTTGTGTGGGTGGTCAAAGCTGTTGTGTGGATGGTCAAAAATGTTGTGTGGGTGGTCAAAGCTGTTGTGTGGGTGGTCAAAGCTGTTGTTTGGGTGGTCAAAGCTGTTGTGTGGGTGGTCAAAACTGTTCTGTGGGTGATCAGAGTTGTTGTGTGGGTGGTCAAAACTGTTCTGTGGGTGATCAGAGCTGTTGTATGGGTGGTCAAAGCTGTTGTGTGAGTGATCAAAGAGGTGTATTTCTGGCATCAGTATGTTTCAGCCGTGTTATTTTCTTCTTTTCACCAAGCTGCTTGTGTGGATTCTGGGTGCTCTGTTTTTGGATTGGGGTGGAGGTGGGTGGGGGTGGATAACGGACCCACTGACCCATAACAAGCATGTTCTAAAAGGTGACTTCATATAAATTTATTGAAATCTGATGCCTTGGGCTGACATGCACTGATATTGCAGTCAAGCTGTACACCACAACACACGTAGCCTACATTTTAAAGGGCAAACACAGAAGAAGAAGAGACTAAGTAATTTAATGCACTAAAAATAATACTTATCATTATTGCAATATCTTATCCAGGTTTTCTTTTGGAACTGTGGTGGGAACAATGAACAAACTAGCAAATGCTATGGAGAACGGAGAGTATGATTTTGATGGCACTCATGACAAGAAGGTAGTCATTAACTCTCTTATGTTGTCTAATGTCAACTTTTAATGTGTGTCCTGTGGTTTTTTCTTTTTCTTTTCTTCATGGAATCATTTTTTTCATAGTTTTTTGTGTGGAAATAGCTAAGAGCCTAATGGTTTTGAAAAAGGCTAAGTCCTAAAGACAACTTATCAAAGACATGTTTTTTTTTTTTAAAGTCATTAAAAGCAATAAATCTGCGGTATTGTTTAAAATAACTTAAGTATTTAATACTTTAATGACAAAACTGAAAAGTTAACTGGTAAAAATAATTTACGATCTAATTATGTTATTGATAGAAACATCCTCCAGTGAAACAGCGAGCTGATGCCCTGAAGTCACAGGCTGCAGATATAGAAGTGATCAAGTCCAAGGTAGATGCCAAGGAGGAGGAGATCAAAGAATTAAAGAAACAACTCAAACAGAAGGTTTGTATCCAGTAAAGTGTGATAGCAGCAGTTTCGTCCTTTCAATGATGTTAAAAATTTTTTTTTTTTATTAGTAACCACAGAAATAAGGTTTCTAAAAATAGCTGCAGGAGTGGCCAGGAAATACAATTTAAAAAGAGGTCATAAGAAAAAAAAGTGGCTCAAAATCAATTACAAATTACATACAAAGATAGCAGATCAAGTGGATTGCCCACTTTAAGAGAATGTCATACAACACCTTACCAAACAAGGCATACACCAAAAGAGGAGAAGGACGTAGAGCACAAGGTAGACCAGGAACAAGATGGAATGACAACATCAGAGAAATGATGTGTCTACGGTCGAGGTGGCCAGAAGAACAAAAAGCAGAAACTTATATTTCCCTTGACACCTTTGGCAGTTAAAGAGGAAGTGAAGAAGAAGAATGATGTCAGACTTTTCCAAGCCTAAAGTGAAACAGCTCAAACAAAACTTAACAAGATTAAAAATAAGTTTAAAAAAAAAATTAACCCTTTTCACGCCTTTAGGCACATTGGGCATATGGGAAGGGCACCCCATATTTTTACAGATCAATCGGCACTGGGTGGGAGATGACATTAGGGGCATTTCTTTCTATATCAGAGTGCATCTCTCTGAAAGGTGAGTAACAAAACAGACTGCATATGAATAAGCCAGATATGCAAAACTCAGATTCTGGAGCAAGACAAGTTCAGAAGAAGAAGAACAATAGAACCTTCTGTCAGTGTTTAGAGCCCATAAACACTCAGAAGAAAAGGAGTCTTAACAATTGACTGTTTAATAGAACAAAAAAGACATTGAGGTGCATTTGGTTATTCTTTTATTTAAGATTCCAGTCATTGTTTTTGTTAGATTGCAGTCATTGTTTTTGTTAGATTGCAGTCATTGTTTTTGTTAGATTGAAGCATACTTTCTACTTTTTTTGTGTGTGCTACCAGCAAGATGAACTCAGTGAGCAACAGATTCGCATCAGTCTTGTGGAGAAAAAACTGGAGAACAAAAACCGTGAAGCAGATGAAGAGCTGGCTAAACTTCAGCGCAAATTGGATGATATGGCTCTTCAATTTAAGAAGAAAGAAAAGTATGTGATCAATTGAATAGTGTGTATAAAAAAATGTACAAGGTAGCCTTACTTAGTAATACAGTGACATAACAAAAAATGTGTTTTATTATTATTACTATGCATGTGTTCTTGTAATAAGTCTGAAAATCTACTGTAAATCATAGACTGGTTTAATGTATTTTATCATCTTGATGAAATAGTATAAGCCAAATTAATCAACTTTCCCTGCTTTAAAGATCATAAATACTATGCTTTCATGAGAAACATTCTTTTTGTGGTTTATTGACTTCATTGTATTCATCATGTCAATTCATGTGCTTATCAAAAGTTTCTAATTTGAAGGCTGGTTTAAAGTAACTTTTCGTGTTGTAAAATTTGCCTTGATTGTATATTATAAATATCCCTTCATTATCATCATAGTTCGTTGTGCCTTTCATGTGCCACACAGGGCTCAATTCCATTCAGCTGTCCTGGGCAAAGCATTTTTATATTGGGTAAGGAACCAAGGCCAGTGTGTCTTTTCATAAACACTCGTCGTTGGGTTTCTCTTGGACTTCCTCTCTCCTTAACCAATCCTGTTTTTTTTCCTCGTTGCGTTTATTCGAAGATGTAGATGCATTGTGTCTGTTTACCATATAGCTGTGATATTTGTGCCTTACGGCCGACACATACAACCTCTGCAGACATTTGATGCCTGGGTTAGCTTTCCCAGCCATCTATTTCTCATTTCAGTGTCTGTTTTGTAATTCTTTGCCTTCTAACAGAATGTGCTCAATATATTTTTTCTGCATATGATTTTTTTCTCATTGTAATACGTTTTTTGTCAGAAACACTATCTGATAATTTAGTTATCTAATTAGTAATACCAAACAAATATTTCTAGGGGAAAATATTTACACTTTTGTAACTCATTGATTGTACAATTTCAGAGAGTTTGAAGAGACTTTTGATGCACTTCAGACTGATATAGATACCCTTGAACAGGAGAAAACTGAGCTGAAGGAACGACTGAGAGTTCTCTCAAAGAACACCCTCTTGCAGAACATGTCTCGTCAGTCTTCAGGACAGGGAGGTAATTCTGACCTGAATGTGAAATGGACATCATCATTATCATATTTTAGCAGCCTCCCCCCCCCCCCCACCCCCTTCAGAACACACAGAAAGCCGTTCAAGTCTGTTGCTAATTTCTCTGCCTCATTCTACCTCCAGGAACAGTACCTTCCATTTCCATTCTCTACAAACTGTTAAAGCATTTAACATGGTCAGAATATGTCAGTTTCCAAGCAACAGAAACATGGACTTCTGTAAATAAATGTTTCCTTTTCTTTCTTTCTTTTTAAAATTTTTTTTAAAGTAAAAATGCTAAATTGAGGAATGGGATCTGATGGTGTCATTAAATTGAAAGTCTAACAGCATTAGACAAAATCTGTTGATAATCAGGTATAAAAAGCAAATTTGGCATGCAAAAAGTTTTTAAATAACATGCTTTGTTAATAAAATCAGGCATTCTTTTTCTTCTTTTTTTGTTCATCTGAAATAAGTTGTATGTATCAGCAGTTTTGTCTCTCGTATAAATTTCACTGTCGTTTTAAGTTCATTCAGTGGTCTGTAGGGTTTACATTCCACTGGTTTCTTTCTGGCCAAAAGGTTTGCCTTATTTTTTCAAATTCAGTGCATTCCTGAATTACTTGCTCTGCTGTCTGTGGCACCTTTCCACATGTGCATATGGCTGATATGCCTATCTTGAATATTATGTATATGTGGTTACATAAGCGGTTGTGCCCTGTTCTGAGACAAAGGACTTGTTCTGATCTGTCCATAATAAAATAGTTTACATGTAAGTGCCAGTTGACTTACATTGGTCAAATGGAGAGACAGCTTGGAAATAGAGTGGCAGAGCACATACCCAAATGGCTGCATTCACAGCTGAGTGATTCTTCTAGGGTGTCAAGACCAGTCAAGAGGAAAGAACCTGCTTCTTCCATAGGACGTCATCTACTTAATTCAGGACACGTAATTGACACAGACACTGCTTTCCGTGTGGTTTACCACACTCCGAACAGGAGACTTTTGAGAATCGCAGAAGCCATAACAATAAAAATCAACAACCCCTTCCTTTGTAAGCAGACGGAATTTGTCGTACATTTGAAGTTATCCTGGCAGTCAGTGACTACGGTGAGCTTCTGGCGGCCATGAAAGAGAGACAATGTATCGAAGAAACTATTCGCATTTCAGTTGAATTTATCCAGTTTTGTGCTTTATTTTATGATGATGTAACTCTGTAGTAATGCACCTGATGAGATACAGCGAAATATGCCTGGCAATAAATTGTGCAATGTATTGTTTGTATCCGCATAATTTAAATAAAATAGTTGTCTTCTGCTGGGGCTAGTGGTTTCCTGATCGATTTAATGATCCTTTTCTTTTGGTGGTATGTTACTGGTACATCTGGCTGCACTTTTGTCACACCTTTCCCTGCCAGTTGATCAGCTTTCTTATTTGTATCTACTGCATTGCGACTCTTCTCTGACAGCTGAGTTGTGTCAACAGTGTTTTGCAACTAACTCTAGTAGTTTCCCAGTTTGGAGTGCTTGAAGTACAGATTTTTAATCTGTCAGCAGTACCACATACTGTGAGCCAAGGCTAGTATTTAGCAGTTTCTCTGTTGCCATCTTGATAGCCTGGGTTTCTGCATCATAATTATGGCAATACTTCCCGGTTGGCACACTGGACTTATCCCTAGTACCATCTGGGAATTCTATGTACACTCCAGCACCACTATTTCTAACTGCATTTTGTGCGGATCTATCTGTTTAGACTTGGACCAATTGTTTTTGTGTGTATTCTTCATCAGTATAAATGAGGGTGGCCATTCTGCGTTGTATACAACCTTGCTCTTTCTTGTCGGATATTTCTTTCACATTTGTCTTTATTTGTACTGCTAGTTTGCATTTTTCTCTCCACTGAGTTTTTTCTGGAATATTTGTGAGTGGACAACAAATTTCAGGAAGGTCAATAGTTCATCTTCATAAATCAGGCATGAATACTAGTCCACTGGAATATTTGGTATCTATTCCTGCCAACACAAGTTATAGAAAACTACTGGTACAACAGGGCTCATTGGCTAGCTTCCAAATATTTATGACCTGTCTAAAACAGGTTTTTTGTGTATGACAGAGAGATGAGCTCACTCACCTACATACACAGTGCCAGGAATATTGTCTAGTGGGATTGCAGCATAAGACTGACATATCTAAGAACTATTATCACAGCTGGTAAAAGTTTAGCAGTTTTAGCCATAGGTGGCTACAGTATTCAATTTCTGCGGGGGAAAAAACCAATCACAGGGACATTGGATTAATGACCTCAGGTCAAGACGGTTGTCATTTCTTAGTCATATTGTGAGACAGGAAGATCTGGAGATTTCTATAACCGGGAAGATTAAGGCTGTTGGAATAAGAGGGTGAAGATACAAGAGGAGTTGGCCAAGTATCACAAAGATCATTAGTAGTTATATTTATCAAGATGATGCTTGTGGAGGAGCATGAGTGCTTGTGCAACTCAGCATGCACATAACAGTGTTCAGTTTTTTTTTTTTTTTTGGGGGGGGGGGGGGGGTCAACTTTATAAAAGATGGTGATGACCTGGGTGGGGCTGCATATGATAGCAAAGGATAGGACTTCTTGGTATAAGTTGGTTGAGGGTCTTTTCTCCACTAGGGAATTTGAGCAGAAGAAGAAGAAAGAAGGAAAGAACTACAGCCACATCAGGCCAGAATTTATTGATAGTATTATTGTTGACATTTTTTCTGTCATTGCAGTTATAGTTAACAGTTGTAGTTGCTGCTGTAAGTTGTAATTATTTTTATCTGTTGAATCTGTTCCATGCTGTTTAGCTTTTCTTATCTGTTGAATCTGTTCCATGCTGTTTAGCTTTTCTTATCTGTTGAATCTGTTCCATGCTGTTTAGCTTTTCTTATCTGTTGAATCTGTTCCATGCTGTTTAGCTTTTCTTATCTGTTGAAATGATTCCCTTCAGTTTTAATTATTGTTGATACTAATGCTGTGTTTTTTCTTGCAGCTGTCATTAGTGGAAGTGCCAGCCCTGTGGCTGGGTCTGTGATTCAAGAATCACCGCTGTTAGCCCAGCAAGTAAGTGGTGACTTGTGTTTTGTCTGATTGTGTCACTTGCCTCTTCTCATAGTCTATGCCTGGGTGGCATTGGCAATCATGTCTGTCCACAGTCTTCTGTGTCCCACTATCTCATGTCCCACTGTCTCATGTCCCACTATCTCATGTCTCACTGTCTCATGTCCCACTATCTCATGTCCCACTATCTCATGTCCCACTGTCTCATGTACCACTATCTCATGTCCCACTGTCTCATGTACCCACTGTCTCATGTCCCACTGTCTCACACCCCACTGTAAATGGAAAGGTTTTCTGTGGACTTAGCTGGCAGAGATCCAGCTCCAGATAAAAGAATATCAATCTCACCAACTGTCAACTCTGAGGATAATATAGTTAGTTGCGTATCCTTTACAGGACGTTGCAGAACCAACACCAGCAGCCCCTGGCTGTTGTGTGGTTTCTCTAGGCAAATTTACGTCCAGTAGTTTGCCATTGCTTTCTGGACGGTCGGCCCTCTGATACCACTGTCGAAACCAACGCAAGGCGCATGGCCCGGCATTACGAAGTGTTAGCCACAGAGCCGACATGAGGATAGTATACCTTTCTCTAATATTTGAGTTAATAAAAGTTTGTGTGTGTATTTTTTTTTTTGAGTGGGGGAGGCTTACAAGACAACAACAGAAACTGAAAGGACGTGTGTGACATAAATCCTTAAACTTGAAAATAAAAAAATAAAAAAAAATCAAGGAAACTTTCCATGATACATTTTAAAATTATAAAACACATCCACAAAACATTTATATTTTACATGCTTCTGATGTGAACACATCCATGCCACTTCATCACATAGGTAATTGCCTAGATTAGGAGCTATTCAACTGGCGGCCTGCAGGCTAAAATCAGCCCACACAGACTTAGCAAGTGGCCCACGGTTCGTTACCAGTTCTTTTGTAATATTGATCTTCCTATGCTGGGGCCCATGATGGCCCCACTGTTCAACATTGTGGCCCCAGAGTTTTTTTTTAAAGTTTTTTTTTATTAAAAGAATAAAAAGCATAATTACCATTCTAAAATGCATATTTATTTATTGTATGTGTCTCATTAAGAAAATCATGCATAGATACTTTCCACTGCTATCACTGATATGTATTTTTATCAACACCAAATCTAAAAATTACTATCTTATTTAAGTCAGTGCACATTTGTGAGTTTCTATCTTTCTTTGACCAGTTCAAAAACAAGAAATTGAAGTAACATTTTTTTCTGCTTGTTTTACAGGTTGTGGCTTTAAGAGATGCACTGCAGTATAACAAACAAGAGCTGATCCGACTGAAAGCTGAGAGAATGAAAGTAAGAAATAAATGTTCTTCAGAATTGCTATGGCTTTCATGTGTTTGTCGGGTGGGGGAGGGGTGGGGGGGGTCTTTGTGGAAAAACTTATAGTATATTCTGTTAGATATGGTCTGAGATTATTTGTTTGTCGGTTTGCTAGGAAGAACATAATAGTATTTATTTTGGCTTTGGATTATTGCATTTTGAAGGTGTCGGTGACGTATGAATGAAAACTTAAGAAGTTTCTTTAACTAACCCAATTATTAAGATAGGCTATGTAAATGCATCATATTTTACATTCTATGTAAATAGGGTTAACTTTCTGATTTTATTAGTTCCAGCTAGACTACTTTCTGCTGAAATTTATTTCATTGTGATCCACTACTTTAGTCTTCATGATTGTGCCCGGTGTAGAATCATAATGGTATTTGGTATATTTGAAGGAGGTAGTTTGCCATTGTTTTCTTTCTTGGCAGTGAGCATACTGGCTGAAATCAGCGTCTGTGGCTTAGGCGTTACGAACGCGCATTGTAATGTCGGGTTCAATCCCAGCTGTGGGCTTTTCGTTGGTTTCGACAGTGGTATCGAGAAGCCAACCGTCTAGAAAGCAATGGCAAACTACTGGATGTAAATTTGCCTAGGAAAACCTCAACAGCTAAAAAATGTACGCAACTAACTTTTTAGGCTACAATCTGTTGAAATTTATTACATTATGATCCACTTCTTGTGTCTTCATGATTGTGCCCAGTGCAGGATTATATTGGAATTTGGTATCTTTGGAGGACGTAGTTTGCCATTGTTTTCTTTTTTGGCAGTGACCATACTGGCTGAAATCACATGATCCTCTGCCTACCATTGGGGAGCTTGAGACCATGACCAACAGCTGTCTTTATTCTGCTGTCAGGTTCATTCCACTACCGGCTTTCGTCATTTCACATTACCCTGGTGGGGGGGGGGGGTAACAGGTTCTCCATCTTGCTGGTGGGTGGAAGGAGGTCCCTGCCTTTCTCCGGACTCGGTGCTGAGAAAGAATAAGAAAACTGTTACACTTTCTTGATTTATGACCATTAACACTTAAACTACATACACACAAAATAGTAATTTCAGGTTTTATTTTTGTTTACAGTACATAAGTAGAGTACATACTATGTATTTTTCACATTATGTGTACTTGTAATAATTATATGTACATAGATTGCATTTTTGTGTTTATATACAATTTGTATAACTCATGTGAATGAAAATATTATTTAAAAAATATGAATTCGACTTACAACCAGTTTGACTTACTAATTGTTAGTTCAGAATGGAATTTAGTCATATGTCAAGGAGACCCTGTAAGGTAGGGCTATTCAGCTGGCAGCCTGCGGGCCAAATCTGGCCCCAGGAGAGTTAGCAAGTGGCTCACGGATCATTGCTTTTTAGGTTTTGTATTAATGATCTTTTTATGCTGGGTCTCTGGCCCAAGACGAATCCCTGTTTTCAAACTTTTGGCTCTGAGTAAACTTAGTTGAACAGCTCTGCTGTAAGGCATAGTTGACTGTTAACGTTTTCTGTAATTTTTTGTGTCTGTTTTGTTCTGTCTGCAGAAACAGATGGCTGCACTGCCACCATTGCAGGTTCCAAAAAAACCAGTAGGTCTAGCCAGTGCTACAGGAACTGTGCCCATTGGAGAAGTCCCCGATGGGGACTCTGCTAAAACTGACCTCAATAAGCTCATCAAGAGAACCAAGGATCTTCTCACGGTATTTGAAGATTTAACTCATTCAGTACCAAGTAGTGCACCATGTATTTTTCAAGTTGTGCTTACATTATCCTGTTTATTGTAAGGTTTAAATTTAGTGTTTTGCTGCATGGCTGACACATTTATGATGCTTTTGTAAATACAGTGCAGTAGGGGTTTAAATGCTTTCATATTATAGGTAAGTTTTGTGGAGTCAGTGATGAGTAGCTGGCCCAATGGTTACAGCGTCGAGCTTTCGTGTGGTATGACCCCTGGTAAGGTAATTAAGTTTTTTTTTTTTTTTTTGGGTTGAGGGCTAAATTAAACATCCTAACCTGCACAGTCCATTGCCATTAGCCAAATGGCCCTACATCCTGAGGCTCACGACAGCCCTGCCCCTGTCGACACCGCCCTAAAAAGTGGTAAACACAGACAGTAGTGACATGTTTTGAGTTGTAACTATTTCACAGAAGGATAAATGTGATTGAAAACATATTCTTACTGTATATCTATGCTCATGTATGTACATGTGTTAATATGAATGTGTGTATGTAATCATCATGTGCTTTACCCGAAGGCGTAAGCAATCATGACTTTCCACAGCAGTGTTTTTTTTTTTTTAGCTGTTAAGATCAATGAGTCAGTCAGTCTGAGATGAATGAGTCAGTCGGTCTGTCAGTTATTTAACTTGTATTTGCTAAAAAGGACTGAAAAGGGTTGTGCAGTTAATCAGTGACCTCTGTTGTCAGTGTCTGTAGAAGCCTTGTTGAAAATCGCTGGCAGGTCCTACAGCTGTTGTTAAAACCCCCCCCCCCCCCCAAAATCCACCTGCCCCCTCCCCCCATTCCTGTCTCTGTTTCTCTCACAGTCTCTTGCTCTCTGATTTTATCATTTTCCTCTCATTCTCTATTTCCTCCTACTGTCTATCTATTCTTTCTTCTCTTTTGTTTTTATTTCTCCCCATGTATCCGTCTATTCATCCATATGTCAGTACATCCTTTCCACTAACTTATGCCCTCATGTCTGTGTACAAATAGCAATAAATTAGCCACACAGCAGTGTTAAAGATCAGTGCTAAACCCTTTTTCCATGACCAAACAAAAAGTACTAAAGGTCATGTAGTCAAAATTCCATAAGTGACCTTTCATATTTTTGCTGAGTCAACCTGAAAACCATAGTGGCGAAAACAAAACCTAGTCCCTACTAGGGATTGAACTCCATGCATTCAATGATAAGGCTGGTCATTAACCATAACCTTTCCTTGGCTGCAGCAGAGACAGGTTTTAGTTATCAAACTTCTAAATGTCACATAATATGTCTCTGTTTCTTGCTCATCCTTGTATATTAAAACATTGCAGCTTACATCTACTTACATTTTACTTTTTGGCAGAACTTACTTAGGAAATCTGGCTGCTTTAGTGGCGACTTCCATTTTTTTTTTTTTTACAATACTTTGCATGTTTTTATGCTCTTTGTAAATGAAAAATGTAGATTTGTTTTGAAACAAAAATACATAAAAGCATTTGTGTTACATTCATTCATAGATACATGGTTTGAGTAGTAAATGTCAGCTACTTGTCATAACATTTTAACACACAGTATAACATGTTTTGTTATGCAGGCACACAGCCAGTGACTGACAGCACGGGACCCTTGCGTCAGTTTATCGCTAGAACTGCCGAGCTGACATCACTGGAAAAGTTTACACAAGAGGTAACAAATTCTTTCAGATTTTGTCTTGGAAGGGTTGACCTCTTCCATATTTTTTTTTTTAATGTGAAGTGCCAAATCTTATTTTTCTTGGAGAAGGGAAAACAGCTGCTGTCCTTTCCATGCATCCTTATCAGTTAATATACTTACACCTTGTCAGTTAACACACTTACACTTTATCATTTCTACCTGTATTCTTTAATGTAAGACTCCTTTATCAGCATTTAACATACTCATACCTTATCATTTCACTCATATATATATTTTTTTTTTACACACGTACACCTTATTTCACACACAAGACATCTTATTTCACAAACCTTTATCTCATCGTCTCACACACCTAAACCTTAACATTTCAGACAATATACCTTATCATTTCATGCACTTATACACATCATGTCACACACATGTATACAAGTTCACTGGTGCTGTGAGTTGAGATTCTCCTTGTGTTACCTATAAGAGGCTTGAACATTATGGGAATATCTGTCGGCAGTGAAAGTGATACTTAAACTACACAGTGCTACCTCAGTATACATACTTTATTCCCTTCTGATCCTTGAATGTATACCAGACAGATTTTCCCATTAGAAATAAAGGCAGAATGATTAATCTGTTTTTCCATGAAAAAAAATTCTGTTTTTTATTGGCAGTTTGTACATTGATGGGCGTTGTATACAATAATTTAAACACTGCTTATTCCTAAACTACAATGAAATTAATAAAAATGTAACCTCTCTTTACCTTGCTGAGAAGAGTTGAGTGTATAGAGGGAAGATGCTGAGAAGAGTTGAGTGTATAGAGGGAAGATGCTGGGAAGAGTTGAGTGTATAGAGGGAAGATGCTGAGAAGAGTTGAGTGTATAGAGGGAAGATGCTGAGAAGAGTTGAGTGTATAGAGGGAAGATGCTGAGAAGAGTTGAGTGTATAGAGGGAAGATGCTAAGAAGAGTTGAGTGTATAGAGGGAAGATGCTGAGAAGAGTTGAGTGTATAGAGGGAAGATGCTGGGAAGAGTTGAGTGTATAGAGAAGATGCTGGGAAGAGTGAGTATAGAGGGAAGATGCTAAGAAGAGTTGAGTGTATAGAGGGGATGCTGGAAGATGCTGAGAAGAGTTGAGTGTTATAGAGGGAAGATGATGCTGTATAGAGGGAAGATGCTGGGAAGAGTTGAGTGTATAGAGGGAAGATGCAGGGAAGAGTTGAGTGTATAGGGAAGAGGAAGAGTTGAGTGTATAGAGGGAAGATGCTGAGAAGAGTTGAGTGTATAGAGGGAAGATGCTGGGAAGAGTTGAGTGTATAGAGGGAAGATGCTGGGAAGAGTTGAGTGTATAAAGGGAAGATGCTGAGAAGAGTTGAGTGTATAGAGGGAAGATGCTGGGAAGAGTTGAGTGTATAGAGGGAAGATGCTGGGAAGAGTTGAGTGTATAGAGGGAAGATGCTGGGAAGAGTGTATAGAGGGAAGATGCTGGGAAGAGTTGAGTGTATAGAGGGAAGATGCTAAGAAGAGTTGAGTGTATAGAGGGAAGATGCTGAGAAGAGTTGAGTGTATAGAGGGAAGATGCTGAGAAGAGTTGAGTGTATAAAGGGAAGATGCTGGGAAGAGTTGAGTGTATAGAGGGAAGATGCTGAGATAGAGTTGAGTATAGAGGGAAGATGCTGGGAAGAGTTGAGTGTATAGAGGGAAGATGCTGGAGAAGAGTTGGGTATAGAGGGAAGATGCTGGGAAGAGTTGAGTGTATAGAGGGAAGATGCTGGGAAGAGTTGGGTGTATAAAGGGAAGATGTTGAGAAGAGTTGAGTGTATAAAGGGAAGATGCTGGGAAGAGTTGAGTGTATAGAGGGAAAGATGCTGGGAAGAGTTGAGTGTATAGAGGGAAGATGCTGGGAAGAGTTGAGTGTATAGAGGGAAGATGCTGGGAAGAGTTGAGTGTATAGAGGGAAGATGCTGGGAAGAGTTGAGTGTATAGAGGGAAGATGCTGAGAAGAGTTGAGTGTATAGAGGGAAGATGCTGAGAAGGGAGGAGATGTTATTGTTTGAATCCCCTTTTACGAACACTTAAGGAATTTGACATTTCGTTCTCTTTTTTTGTTTTTGTTTCTTTTCCCTTCTTCAGTGTCTGGTTGAAGATCACGAGTTCTAGTACATGTCGTATTCCAAACAAAGATAAACCAGGTGGAACTTATTCGAAAGCGATCGTATACTGAGCTATACCGATTCACATATTTCACACACCTACAACAGCATCTATGCGAATACCTTCCCCTTGTAGTTCACTCATCAAGAAAAGGGAGATTCTTCCTGGTTTTCTGCATGTTCTGTGTGTCTGTGGCTTAGGCATCGTGAATGCACTTTGAAATTCTGAGATGCCGGGCTTGATCCCATATTTAGTCAGTTTGGCAGCAAACTGCCTCATAGAATTGCCTAGTTAAATCACACACATTCCCCCCCCCCCCCCCCCCCCCCACCCCAAAAAAATATGCTGGGGTTGGTTCTGCAACATCCTGCAAAGGGTACGCAACTAACTGTAACATTCTAATAGTTGCATACGCAGTTATGTATTATAACCAGCAGAAACCACAGTATTGTGTCAGAGCTACAAGCCATGAAACTGGCTGACCTCTGATCATAATCATTTGGGAACCATTATCATCACATGGCGAATCCTTTGCAGAACATTGCTCACATGACAACTTGCCAGGAAGGAGGGTGTTTTTAATGTTCTGTGTCTACTACTGTGTTTGACTTTTCTTCCAGGAAGCATGTGTTCCAATGCTGTTCTTTCTAAACCAATATGATGTTAAATAAGGACAAAGTTTTATTATAGTTTCTGAGATATGTTGCTTATTTCAATAATCAGATTTGGTTAAATATCAGTATTTTTCAAATTGATACACATTATTCTAAGAATTTTGCTGTAAAATCAAAATTTAGAAGTCTTTTTTTTTTTTCAAGAAAAATCAGCTTCGGATATGTTCTTCTGTTATAAACATTAAAAAGTATCAGATCCCCAAGTATGGTCTTCCTTAATGAACATTGTAAAATGAATCCCAGATTAAGTCTTCCTTTATGAAAATATCAGTTCAGATTATGTTATTCCTTTATGAATACTGGCCTCTGTTTGTGAACATGACAAATACTGGCCTCTATTGTGAACATTAAAAATACTGGCCTCTATTGTGAACATTACAAATACTGGCCTCTGTTTGTGAACATTACAAATACTGGCCTCTATTGTGAACATTACAAATACTGGCCTCTATTGTTAACATTACAAATACTGGCTTCTATTTGTGAACATTACAAATACTGGCCTCTGTTTGTGAACATTACAAATACTGGACCTCTATTTGTGAACATTACAAATACTTGCCTCTATTTGTGAACATTACAAATCTTCTTCTTCTTCTTCTTCTTCACTTCCTCTTTTACCGCTGTGGGTGTCGTGGGAGATATAAGGTTCTGTTTCTAGCTCTTCTGGCTGCCTCGACCATAGGCACATCATGCTGTTGTAGAGTTTCTCTGATGTTATCCTTCCATCTTGTTCTTGGTCTACCCCGTGCTTTACGTCCTTCTTCTCTTTCCATGTATGCTTTGTATGGTATGGTGTCACAATGCATTCTCTCTAAGTGGGCAAACCATTTCACTTGCTGTCTTTGTATGTAATCCAGAATTGGTTCTGTGCCGACTTGTTCTCTTATGATCTCATTCTTGATCTTATCTCTTATGGTCACTCCTACAGCCCTTCTCAGACATCTCATTTCCGTGGTTACTAATTTTCTTTTATGGTTTGTTGTGAGTAACCATGTCTGGCACTAGTAGCACAGAGTTGGAATAAATATGCTTTGAATAAGATATTTCTTTGTGCTGATTGGGATTGTCTTATGCTGTAAGAGGGGGGCTAGCTGTCCCAATACTTGGTTTGCTTTACTGCATCTAATGTTAATTTCTTTATCCAATTTCCCATCTTCGGTAAATGTAGTTCCCAGATATTTAAACTCAGATGCCTATTTAATGCCTTTATATTCTATTGCTATGTTTAGATCTGTTCTCCTCTTTTAATTTTCAAAGTAATAATTCTATCTGAGTGATAATGTATGTCTAATATGTAGTTAGATATGTCTGGATGTACCAGGAAACCCACTCCATTCTTCGATGTTTCTCCTCCTGCATATATTAGTAAGTAGCCTCTGTGTATTTTCTTATTAATATTTCCCTTGCGTCTTATTTCAGCTAGCCCCATTAACTTGATTTTCCTATGTTCCATCATTTCAATAATCTCTTCTGTTTTATTTCCCAGGCCAGCGGTGTTAAGTATTGCAATCTTGTATTTCGCTTTTCTGTCTCGTAGTCCCTTAACATAGCCATGGTCGGATACGGTTTAATCAGTCCGTTATATCTCATTTTGATTTCTGTAGCTTTAATAAATCCATTGCCGGCTTGCTAGGCCTGTCGCAACTTCACCAGAGTCCCGTTGGCCAGGACGTTTCGGGGTGACCCAGGGTGGCCTTCATGGCTACCGTAGCGGTCCTGTGGCACGAGGCCACACCATACTTCGCCCACACCTAGCAATCCCCTACTTTGTCCTGTTACCACCTCTCACGGCGAGGACGTGGGGTTGGCCTTTGAGAGGCAACATTACAAATACTGGCCTCTATTTGTGAACATTACACAAACTGGCCTCTATTTGTGAACATTACAAATACTGGCCTCTATTTGTGAACTTTACACATACTGGCCTCTGTTTGTGAACATTACAAATACTGGCCTCTGTTTGTGAACATTACAAATACTGGCTTTTATTTGTAAACATTACAAATACTGGCCTCTATGAACATTACAAATACTGGCCTATATTTGTGAACATTACAAATACTGGCCTCTGTTTGTGAACATTACAAATACTGGCCTCTGTTTGTGAACATTACAGATACTGGCCTCTGTTTGTGAACATTACAAATACTGGCCTCTATTTGTGAACATTACAAATACTGGCCTCTCTGCTTAACATATAAATGTCATGTCTGCAAACAAAACTATCTTTTGTCACTTTGTTATTTTATGAAATATAAAATTAAGGTGCACTAATTTTCTGTTTATTTCCCAATTGACCACAGCTTCAGGTCCAAGTCACGACCCTGTTGGCAGCCAACAGAACTGGTGGCCAGGTGCGAACAGACTTCTCCACATTTCCAACTCCGCAGTTTGCCAGAGTAAGTAGTGGTTGAATTTGCTACCTGTCTTCTTTTTCTTCTCATTACATTGTTACCAAGTTGTAGCCCATGTAGTGGTTTTCTGTGTATTGTCTTGTACTTCTTGGGCAGCTGTAGTAATGGTTTTGTTCATCTTTCTACAGGTTTCAGCTTCCCATCTCTTTCTTGGTCTTCCTCTTGCCTTCCCCACAGATCTTCTGTTGTAGAAGGTCTCATGTGTCTACTCACTTTGGTCTGGCTGTTGTGTTACAAGATGGCCAAATCATTTCATTGTCTGTCTCTCAATGTAATTCACGACCAGTCTCGTCTAATGCTGGTTATTGTGACCGTGTTTTGTTGATGATCTTTCAGAGACAGTGCATTTTACAGGGGACTACTTTCTTAAAGCTTTTCTGAAATCAGATGCATTTAGCAGACAGGTGCAGCAGTCACTGCCCAGCTTTAACTACAACACATGTTCCAACCACCATTCTAGAGGTAGAGAAAGTCGAATTTTGTGTGTGTGTGCGTGCTGTTTGCAAACCAATCTTTCTTTATGCTCAGATCTTTTCCAATGTCAGTATTTCTGTTCTTCTTGGTCCATGGTATTTTGAGAATTTTTCTGAATGAATTCAGCAGTAAAGCCCTTATTTTCATTCTTCATAAATAACTGTTGAGGTAGTCCATGACTCACATTAGTGTGTTGATCATTCCAGGCATGATATACTGTTTAAAAAAAAACAGTTACTGAAATAACATACATACTCACAGTTTTGACATTCTGCATCTTTGTAAGGCAGTAAGTGTGATTACTCAGATCTCATCAATCGACAACTTTTTTTTTTTGTGTGCAACTAGTCATGATAATTTTTAGGCTTGGGCCTTTTCCGTTAGTGTGGTGTGTGGCCTACTTATGTGTTTGTCAGTGACTTGGCATTTCCTGGGCATGGATGCCATCAGATGTCTGTTGTGGGCCGGTGGGATGGCAGCCCACTCTTCCTGGAGTGTCTGGAACAGATCATGACCCTTGGCTGGAGCAAGATCTCGGCAACAAACACGTCTCTGCAGCTCATCCCACATGTGCTTAATCGGACACGTCTGCAGACAGGGATGGCCAGGGACAGGTTTGAATATTATTGGCAGCTGGGAACTGCTTGGTCACCCATGCAGAATCGGGTCTGGCATTGTCCTTTTGAAAAAGGTATTTGTTGGCATCTCAAAATGGAAGGTCACCTAGTCGAAGAATTTCACTGGTGTATCATTACGCACACAAGCTTCCTTCAGTGTTCATCAATTGACTCCTTCCTTTGTAACTGACCATTCCACCTCCACCACCGTGCAGAAGAGCTTCAACACAATTTTGGGCTAAACCTTTATTTCGTCTGAGGTAGACCCTACCCCATCTATCGTGATGCTGCAACAAAAAGAAAGATTCGTCACTGAACCAGACACATCTCCACTGATTGTCACCTGCCCAGGGACAATGTTGGTTGGCCCAAAGAAGTCGATTTTGGTGGTGGCGACGTGTAAGGACAGGTCCTGGGTGTGGTCGTCGAGCCCAAAGTCCAACGTCATTCAGTCTGTTCTGAATAGTTTGTTCAGACACATGACATCCTGGAGGTAATGCCTGTGCAGTTGAGGAAGCTGTTGTAAACCTGTCTCTGAGGTGATGAAGCTGAATAAAGTGATTCTCCACTAATGGCCCGTTGATCATAGCCAGTTTTATGGTATTGATGATCTTTCTATGATTGGGCTCGGATCTCTGGCCCATAGCGATCATGATAATCTTAATTTTTAGAAATATTAGCCCCCGAGGAAACTTAGTCAAATAGCCCTGCCATATATGCTCCGTTTCTGTGCCAGTGAAAAAGAAATATTCCTTACAGTCTCATTTGAAAAACTAGTAAATAAACAGTTAGTCCCTCCACAATCCAGAAATACGCGCATGCATAACGCAGTTGCTAGAGGTGCCAAAGCCAGCAGTCATCACCAGAAATGTAGTTTGTCGTAGATAAAAGTAGCTAGTCACGATTAATTGGCAATACTTTTGAAAAATTATTACATAAGGTATGTCGCCAGTCCACCTGTAAACCAGCTATACCAAGACACAGCTGCTGCACAATTGAAAGGCATTTCACATGAAAAATACAGCTCACAGTGCTGCACATAGCACTGAACTCAGTAAATTAGGCAGTGAAACCATAGATTTCTGTCCGTATGTGGAAACTACATTAGCCAAGCACTGTCAGGAGCAAAAATAACCTAGAAGCTATACATTCTGCCAAGCCTATCCTCCATGTTGGGTCGGGAGTAGTCAGGCATATAGTTTACCTGACATCGTGACTACACTTGTCACAGTTGTCATGTATGGTATGTCTTGATGACAGAGAAAACATGTATGCACTGTGCTGACAAAGATGGATTATTTCCCTGTGCGGGTTCCAGGACCCCATTGTTGGGGGAAAACAAGCATGTCATGAAAGGCGACTATTAAGAAGTTGCTGAAATCAGATGTTTTGGCAGGAAATATGTCACATCTTGGTTGGAAAGCACAATACAGTGAACCAATCACTCTTTTAAGATGGCTGATATGAAGAGGTGACCATACAAAGCCACTAAATATTTATTTGTGTACTATCTTGAGGTGACACTTCTACTTTACTTCTATCCAGAGGTGAAATTCCTTTAAATCTCTTGTATTCAATCCTTGAAACTTCCTTGGGTGCTCCTATGCTACCATGGGGGAATTTTATTGTTGTGTTCCCATTTTACTCTGGTGTAAATCAGCCTTGAGTGTTAATATTAAAATTATAGGGTAAACCATTCTTGGGTGCTTTTGTTAAACCTCGTGGTGACCTAGACTGAACCCAGAACTCTTCAACTCTTCAAAAACAAATATAATCCAGCTAATATTGAAATGTGTTGGCATGTGAGTGCATAAGCCACTAAACTAGGATTCATGAACAGGCATTGCAAACTACATTATAGGAAGAAATTAAAAGAAACAGTGAAAAGTATGCATGCATTGTAGAAATTATTTGTTTAAAGGCTGCACAAACTACAGATTATGATAAGAAATGATATGAAATTATACATTACAGGTAAAAATTATAAAAAGTTGTACACACTATTGGAAGAAATTTAAAAAAAGCAGTTGAAAACTTTGCATTGATTACAAGAAGAAGAAAAATACTCTACAAACTAAGAAAACAAAGAAATAAAAAAGAGGCAGACACATGCTCTGTTATGGGCATGGCTTACTAAAGTTGGTCTGAAATAGAAAGTATTGGGAAACAACTGTGACAGTCCTAAGGAACATGGGCAAACAAGAATGAGTTTTCATAGATGTGGTTCGTCATTCTCTCTGATAATCAAGAGAACAAAATTTATTTTGAACTTTCAGATGCTGCACGAGAAGTCAGGTGACAGTATCAAGATTGGAAGTGTGCAGATTCCTGTCCAAGATGGCAAGGGGGAGATTATTCCCATACACATCCAGTCAGATCAGCTACGTCGCATTCATGGCAAATTTATTATGTAGTCAGTAGATGTACTTATGCACTTGTCTTAGTCAGGGGATATTTATTTGTTGCTTGGGTTCACCTGTCTGCTTGATTGCATTGTCTTTGGCGAGTTTTCATCTTATATGAACAAAGGGATATAACAGTACAGGTCTTCTTCTGCAGTTGTCAGGTTTTCGTTTTTAAAGGTTGACAACTAGGCTGAGCTTTCTACCCAACATATCCGATTTCAGCTAACCCTTGATTAATTTACTTTTAGGGCAGGGCAGGGCATGCTCGAGGCAATGGGCTTATTCTTCCCGTGAAATGGGGCCCCGAAAGTCACATGAGAAGAAGTGCAGCTGTAGGGATCAGAATGTACTTGCAGTAAAGAGGGTATGACAGAATCCTCAATGTGGAACTCACGGAAAAAAAAAAAATTTGAATGGAAACCGTAATTAACTAGATGAGAGAGAGATTCAAGAAAGGATATATTTTGAGTACATATTTGTTTCTTCTGCGTTCTTCCTCAAAAGGGGAGTTGACACTTTGGTGTTAGGTTTTACAGCTAGGCTGTAATAAGTGCACCTTTGACCTACCATACCTGATTTTGCCTAACCCTTGATGGATTAGTTAACCTTTAGGACAAACATGTTAAAGAACAGTTGTTCTATTATTGTTCCCCTAAAATGGTGTCCCACGCAAAAAAGTGTGGTTGTATAGATCGGATGTGCAGAACATCAAGTACTGATACATTGTGTACGTGGTAATATGTATTTGGCAATGAATAGAAGGCGACATAATTTTTATTGTGCAGCTCATTGAAAAGACAGAATAGAAATGGGGAAAAAATTACTGCTAAATACAGGATTCAAGAAATGAAATATTCTGAGCACTTACTGTGACTGCGGAAAGCTAACTAAGGGAAAGATGGAAGGCAAGTTAGCAAGAGAAATACAATTGTTTGAATGAGATATCATTATTAGATGGCCTGGAAAGTTGATGCCAGGCTGTACTAGAACCTGGGACAAGCATGATCAGACATTTTATATTTGTGGAGCTGTTGGGGAGATTTTGAGCACCTCTTCGGAGGTGCTGTGATGATAATCCTTTCTTCTTTTTCTTCTTCTCTTCCACCATTTATCTCAGCGAGGTGTTGGAGGGAGATAATCTTTACTTCTTCTTCTCTTCCACCATTTACCTCAGCAAGGTGTTGGAGGGAGATAATCTTTACTTCTTCTTCTCTTCCACCATTTACCTTAGCAAGGTGTTGGAGGGAGATAATCTTTACTTCTTCTTCTCTTCCACCATTTATCTCAGCGAGGTGTTGGAGGGAGATAATCTTTACTTCTTCTTCTCTTCCACCATTTACCTCAGCAAGGTGTTGGAGGGAGATAATCCTACTTTTTTATTTACAGTAGAAATTGGATTGGTATTTTAAATGATTAATACACTTTAACTTTGAGTTTACAAGAATGATTAATTAAATTAATATTAAATAAAATCTGTATCTTTCTGTAAAAAACATTTTTTTCTTTTTTACATTATTTTGTGTTTGACATAATTATCTGAATGTGCAGACTTGATGGGCCTCGGTTGACATGTTAATTTTGGCTAGAGTTCGTAGATATGCTGGTTAAAATGTTGTCCTTGACAAAGCCTTATTTCTCTGTCTTGTAAAATTCTTTGCACCACATAGATGGCTGCAGTAATTACAATTATTGGGGGTGTCTGAAATGTGAGTAGTAATTGTACTAACTATAATCTCATTATATGTTAAGACTGTCTCAACAGTAGCAATCTTTTTCACCGTTTTTGCCCCATAAGGCAATTTTTCGAGTTGACATCAATGACGGTCATGCTGTATGTATGTAAAAAAGATTCATTGGTTGAGATAGTGGCAAAGTAATCAGAATCCTTTGATTTGACAACTTGATTCAGTTGATAAAATGAATGAGTGATCAATAAATTGCTATAAGGAGAAATGTCTGGACAACCACTGGTATTAATAGTTATAAGGCAAAAAAGGTGGTGCATACTGAAGAAGGGTGAGCAGAGAACGGGCACTAACATGGGGAACAGATGGATTGTCCAAGAGAAACCCCAAAACGAATGTTCCTGAGAGAGAAGCCAGTGGTTCTGGATTGTATTCTATTCATATCATTAGGATTGTACAGGGTAGAACTGAATGGAGGACAAGACCACTAGCCATATATGACCTACAGTGGCACCAAAGAATGGTGATGATAATTAGATGATGTTTCTTTTTTTTTTTCTGTCAGCTTTTCATATCCCCTAATATATGAACCACAGAATTATCTTTTTTTTTTTTCAATCAGCGTCAAGATATTTTAACTGTAAGGCTGGAATAAACTTATTCGTGACCACTTGTGTAGCAGTGGGTTAGTGCAATATTCATTTGAGACAACAGATATCCATAGTTATATAATAATGGGGGTTGTTAATTTATGAGTTTGTATGAGACTTTAAGCAAACAACTAGCCATTCTGGGGTGAGTGACCGAGCCATGCAGAAAAAGAAAAAGATCATGCAGTGAAGCTAATCCTTTCAGCTTAAACTTTTTTAGCACATTATAAGTACTGTTCTGGGAACAGACATAGAATATATTTGTAAGGGGTATTTCGGAGGGATGGTTTCAGCTGGCATGCAGAGAGACTTTGCATTTAAACATCAGTGAGATGTCTCCATTTTTTAGCTGATCTTCTTTTGTGCACACATCTCAACAGAGATTTATAATTTTTTTGTACCCTATTGTTTGGATGTTACTGGTCTGCCCCTAATCCCTTGCTTGTAGTAATTTGCAATAAAGATACCTATATAATAATACCTGTGTTTTGGAGTCTCTGTGGGAGAAAGTGTTGGCAGATTTGTTAGTTATCAAATATAACTGACCAATGGGATGATATCGATAATACATGTTACCAGCTTCTTCACAGATGAAATAAAACAGACTGACTAGAAATCTCAGCAGAGGAATAGAATAATAATAGAATATGCACAACTATCACTGAACATTTCAAAATTTCCTTATCAATAGAGTATTGAATACAACACAAATTGACACAAAACGTCAGTGGAGGGGATGGAAAAGCCACACAAATATATATTAACAGAGCATTAAATATAACAGAAAACTGTGACAAGAAAACACACAAGACGAGAGCTGATATCAAAGCTGACCTTGCTGTAGCATTGGAGCACATATTTTTGATCAAGGACAGAAGCAGAAATTTCAAGGTGAAATATTTTGTAGACAGTGTAGCAAAAGACCCTTTTCCATGTCTTCAGCATTCTGTTAGGCACATAGGGCTATACTTAAATTTTATAGATCAGTCAGTGGGTGATGTGGTCAACATCATGCCGGCCACCTTTACTTTCCAGGACTTTACCTGGTCCCCATTTAGGGCTGGGTCATTGTGGGAGCCAAGTTGATTTGTTTTTAAGAATATGTAGGATCACTCATAACATCAATAAAAGGGCTCAATACATCAAAGCTTGGCTCTTAAAACTCCATAGGCTACAGCTGTGACTCACAGTCACCTAAGACCCATGAACCACTCATATTTTGGTCTGCCATGGATTCCATTTTTTTATTTTAATAGCCTTGCTGAAGAAATTCTCATTTCCAAATGGCAAAAGGACTGCATTATATATAACAGGGAGTTTAGATACAGTTAGAGGATTCACTAAACATAGACTACAGATATGGGATGCCGTAGAAGAGCTGCTGCAGTAGCAAGATAAGATCAGATTTAAAATGCAGAAATTAGAAGAATGATGAGACTGAAGCAAGTCACATAGTTAAAGAACAATAAATGAGTAGCGTGGCCATCAGGTGAGAATGCCCCGGTGCCAGCTGCCATATGAAGAAACATAATGAATGCAGAGCCTGGGGGAGACCATGCTAAATATGGAATGACTTGATCAAGAAGAACTTTAAAGGAAGATAAATTTACAATGCATAAGAAAAAGCACACAAAAGATCCTTAACACCTCCTGCCAACACTTTAATGAAGTAACTGGAGAAAGAAGAAGAAGACAAACTATGACTAGGAATTTTAATGGGGAGGGAGGAGAAACAGCCGCTCACAGAGAGAACTGAGTTAGTGTTTTTTGAATATTTTCTCCGGGGCATACAGGAGTCTTGTGAAATAAAAAGGCAGGTTCGGCGCCAACGGGTGGTCAATATATGCATGACAAACCTGATGTGGCCAAGGCCCCGTGGGAGCAAGTGAACAGTGCCCGAATAGATCATTACAGCCTGGAGAGAATCCTACAGCTGGAAGCGACCAAGGGATCTGGTCAATACTCAGAGGAAAGGCAAGACAGACATAAAATCAAGCGCTACTGGCACCGGAATTGAAACTCTGCGCTGGCTGCTGAAGATGGAAGCACTTATGGGAATGTCCCGAGGGCTGAGACATCAGTTTGAAGTTCAACATTCAACAGATACAACCAAACATTTTTACGAGTCTTCAACAATATGCCTTTCTCTCTCTCATGTGCACATACACACTGTCACACACTTTTATGCTGAGAGGCAGCTCTTATACATCATGAACTAAGTTCCCTCTGTTTATTCTATCAGTGTAGCAAGCCCCATTAATGTATATCTTATCTAAAGAAATTATAATAAAGAGAATCAAAAGCACAGAAAAAATAACACCAAAATATTTTATTGAAATTATAATGTTTACAACACAATGCAGTGGAGACAGCCATTCGCTGACAAGTATCTTGGGACAACAAAACCACAAAATGTAACAGCATATCAAATACGTTTCATTTATTGAGATCAAATCTGAGCATCTTTCAAAACTGGTCATCAAACTCTGACTTTAGTCAACAAGAACTCCCCTTCAACTCTTCTGCCATTTAAAAAAATTGCCATTTGTTTATGTGCCAATGTTTATCATATTCCTGCCTCAAAAGTACTTGACACCAACATCATTATCAACTCTTTCAGCGCCAGTACTTGACATTAATGACACACCACTGACATTAACTCTTTCACTACAAG